AGCAAAAGGGACAACTGGACGAGTGCTGACACACAGATCACTGTGGAGCAGCCTCCTGGCCAGTTTCTGCAGGAAACAGCAGGGTGGAATCTGCCTGGGCTGAGGAACATTTGCACTTCCTTGCCTGGGCTGAGGAACACTTGCACTTCCTTGCCTGGGCAAATGGAGGAAGAGGTGTGCAGACCCTCTGGGGCGGGCGTCCTCTGCCTTGAACATCACCCAGGACCCGCAGCACTCCAGGCTCAGGTGTTCACCTGTCTTTGCGGTCTGAAAGTGCTTCACGTAGTCCATGACGCACAGGAAGGGGGGCTATGGGTAGTGTGGCTTTTTTTCCTTCTCTCTGATGGAGAAACGGGTGTAGCTGTGTCTATTAAGAATAGAGTCTGGGAGATTGTGTGGCTTACTGGTTGAAAACGGGCTTTAGTGAACGAGAGGGCTGATCTCAGTTCATAGCCTAGTCTTGCCATTGACGATTAGCTGATGGAAAAACCTACCTTCATCTATCTGTGTTTTAGTGTCCCCGTCTGTAGACTATACTCGCAATCATTTACAAAGTACTAGACTATACTCGCAATCGTTTACAAAGTACTATATTTAAAATGTTTAATTGGTAGGTCGAAACATGCTTCTCTCCAGCACTCTCCAGTCAGTATTTGGGCAGAGTGGCCATGCTTTCTGCTTCCGGGTAAAACATTATATCCTAGTTGGCCATCAAGCCACAGACCAAAATATGGAGTCCACAAGAGTGCAGAGGTCATGGATAAGGGCTCTGATGAGAGGAGAGGATGGAGAGATGTCGTCTGCTGTCTGAGGATGGAGAGATGTCATCTGCTGTCTGAGGATGGAGAGATGTCATCTGCTGTCTGAGGCACACATAGTTAACACTTTGTCTAGGGAAGGCGGGGCAGAGGATTCCTGGATCCAGTGTGGGACTGAGCCCTGGATTTCCCAACTACTTCAACGTCACCGTCAGAGTTAGTAATCCATGTACCTGGCAAGTATGGGCAGAAAAGACACCGCAGACCTTCCGATCACAATCACAGTCAGTCAGTCCCCTCCCTGACAGTCCTGAACCACATAGCGGATGGGACAGGAAAGGGACCCATAGAACCAGGCTACCCGAGGTAAGCTTTATGGGATCTGCACCCCTTCTGAAGATCTTACATCCTTCGTAGACAAAGCCTCGAGTTTCCTTCTGAAATGATGGGCTCATTGGAAAAGATAAAGCACACGGAAACCCAAGAAAAGTTAAAATAACAGGTTCTGCAAGGATCCTGGGATTGTGGGGAGCGGAGAGCCCTGTGTGGTCATAGCAGAAGCAGAGACACTCCACTTAGTGTCCCCTGTGACTGCGGCCAGCTTGCAGTTTGCAAGTGAGTCAGTCCAGTCCTGGTTTCTTCCCAATACCAGGCTGCTTATGTCCTTTACCTGTCTTTGCTCTCCATTGTCCTCTCCCCTCTCTCTAGCCTCGTTCTCTGTCTAAGAACCCTGCTTCTCTGGCCATGTCCTAGGCCTGCAGTCTGTCCCTGGGCCCTTGCATTGAAGACGCTTCAGCACCTGTGCTCTGCTAACAGGGCTTCCAGAGGCCATCCCCAGACTTCCCCTAGAGCTAAAGACACTGCCCAGCTCCAATGCAGACAAAGTACCCAGCGAATGAGTACAGCGAGGCGTCTTAAAGCATGTGGCCTTACACCCGGCCCCAGGGATCCTGGCTCTGCTGTGCCTTGATCTCCTGATTGGGCAGTGAAGCTACTGTTTCCTGGGGTATATATTTCATCTGTAAGAAAGGGGAGACAAAGGCCTTGCAAAATGAATGAGCGCCTCATCTTCTTCCTACTGGGGATAGCATGGGCGGGGGAGCATCTAGAGGCAGGCTAGGGGAGGGCGGAGTGGCATGGTAGGGTCAGCCTGCAGAGAACTCCAGGAGGCTCCAGCAGGTGTACCTACCTCCTGCCAGCCTGCTTGTCCTGTGCACACACGTCTGGAGGGCTACACTGTGAGACGCCACAGCGGAGCCAGGCCAAGCACAGTGAGCTCAGCAACAAAACCCTCCGGCCTCGGCTGCACTACACTGTGAGACGCCACAGCAGAGTCAGGCCAAGCACAGTCAGGTAGACCTAGGTGGGAAGGCAGCAAAACCCTCCGGCCTGGGCTCTACTACAGGCGACTTAGGGAGTTTGCTACAATATTAGGGTGTCAGTTAGCAAGGAGAGATTTGTTTTGGTTTGTAGGTAGGGGTGATACAAGGACCGAAAATAGAAAAACCTTTCAACTCTCCAGGGATCCAGCAGCCAGTGCTGATTATACACGCTTTGTTCTAAAGTGTCTTGGATGTTTGTTAGAGTGGGCAGTTTGGGGCTTTTAGGCAAAATTATGATTTTTTTTAGGTTTGTTTATTTTTTATCTTGTGTGTATGAGTTTTTGTCTGCATGTATCTATGGGCACCATGTCTGGTGCACTCCGAGTCCAGAAGAAGGCGTCAGATGTGGACTTACAGGGGGATGTGAAGCCAACAGGTGGGTGCTGGGAGCTAAGTCTGCCAGAGCAGCCGGTGCCAAGCACGCGGCCATCTCTCTAGCCCGCATTAACGCCGGTGCCAAGCACGCGGCCATCCCTCTAGCCCGCATTAACGCCGGTGCCAAGCACGTGACCATCTCTCTAGCCCGCATTAACGCCGGTGCCAAGCACGCGGCCATCTCTCTAGCCCGCATTAACGCCGGTGCCAAGCACGTGACCATCTCTCTAGCCCGCATTAACGCCGGTGCCAAGCACGCGGCCATCTCTCTAGCCCGCATTAACGCCGGTGCCAAGCACGCGGCCATCCCTCTAGCCCGCATTAACGCCGGTGCCAAGCACGTGACCATCTCTCTAGCCCGCATTAACGCCGGTGCCAAGCACGCGGCCATCTCTCTAGCCCGCATTAACGCCGGTGCCAAGCACGCGGCCATCCCTCTAGCCCGCATTAACGCCGGTGCCAAGCACGCGGCCATCCCTCTAGCCCGCATTAACGCCGGTGCCAAGCACGCGGCCATCCCTCTAGCCCGCATTAACGCCGTGTCTTGCTTCTTGCCTTCACCCTCACAGCACGTGCTTCCCCGTCACACACCCCTCAGAACTGAGCGTGCTTTTTAAAGGTTTTGAGATGCTTAAGGGGTATATTATCATTTACTTCACATTTTAAGGTTTTGTTCATGTTGTTATCAACACTGTCACTATAATCTTCTCTGGGCCTACAGGCTAGCGGAAAGTCCACAAGGCCTTAAGGAATTTACAGTATGCTTTGGGAAAGAAACTTAGTCCTCAACTCAGTGTTCATTTGTCCTTTGGATTAGCAAAGTGACTATCTATCTATCTATCTATCTATCTATCTATCTATCATCTATCTATCTATCTATCCTCTATCTATCTATATATATATCATCTGTCTATATATCTATCATCTATCAATCTATCATCTATCTATATGTGTATTATGTATCTATGTGTGTTGAACTACAAAAGCATACAACTTGAAGAAAAAGATGCAGCTATATAGTATAATCGATATAACATATTGACTGGCTTGTTGACCACAGTAAGCTTTGCGGAGAGACTAATTCAAAGGTCAGTTTCATCAAACAGTGGAAGGAATTGAAACAGAGCATCACAGGATAGGAGTTGGAAGGACGCGTGCTTGGTCTTTTGGGTTCAGTTTCAGCAACTGAAAAAGAAGAGGAACGTCAGGCCTGGGGAGATGGTTCAGCCAGGACGGAGCACTCAGGATGAGCGTGAGTGCCTGGATTTGGTCCCCAAAACCACATTAAAGAGGCCTGGTGTGGCAGCATGGACTTGTAGTCCCAGAGCAAGGGAGATGGAAACAGGCAGATTCCTAAGGCTCGATGGCCGGATCACCTAGCTTGATCAGTGAAATTCAGGTTAATGAGAAGCAATGTCTCAGAAAGACAAGGTTGGCTGGGGGGGGGTTCAGTGGTTAGAGCACTTGCTGCTCTTCCAGAGAACCCAAGTTCTGCTCCCAGCACCTGTAGCAGCTTATAGCTCCCTGTAAATTCAGCCCTAGGAGGTCTCATGGGAGACCCGACGTCCTCTTTTGGTCTCTGTGTACATCGGCACATGCCTGCACAAACCCCCTCACAAAACACAGGACATGTCATCACTTTTTTTTAAAGTTTTTAAAAACCAGACCAACCAACAGACAAAACCAAGGCCCGGAAGAGGAACAAAACAACCAAATTTTGTTGGAAAAAAATGCCAAATTTTGTTGGAAAAAAAATGCCATAACAAAACCCAATTCTTTCTAAGTTAATAGTTCTTTTTTTTTTACTTTTTTATATTTCAATTAGAAACAAGCTTGCTTCACATGTCAATCCCAGCTCCCTCTCCCTTCCCTCCTCCCCGTAGTTTTTTGTTTGTTTGTTTGTTTGCGTTTAAGGCGGGTGGCTCTTGAGGAATGACGCTCAAGACTGTCCTCTGATGTGACACACATGCGAATGCGTGTGCTTACCTCCCACGTGTACCCGCATGCACATACATGCACACATTGGGAAGAGTCATCACGGCTGTGTGAGGTGGGGCAAGAACAGAATGCGGAGCAGGACGTGTCCTGTCTGAGGGCACCCCAGCATCGAGGGGCGGGAGAATGAAGCGTGCGTGTGCGTGCGTGTGCATGTGTGTGTGAGTGTGTGTGAGAGAGAGACAGACAGACAGACAGAGAGACAGAGACAGAGAGACAGACAGAGAGACAGACAGACACAGAGAGAGAGACAGACAGACAGACAGAGAGAGAGAGACAGACAGAGAGACAGAGAGAGAGACAGAGAGACAGAGAGAGAGGAGAGAGAGACAGAGAGACAGAGAGACAGAGAGAGAGACAGAGAGAGAGCACCCTGCTGTGAGAACTCAAGCGTTAGACATGGCAGAGCGGTAGGATCTCCCCCGAGCTTTGGCAAGCGGTTCAGGTACTGTGAGCAGGGACACATCTCAGCCTTGCCTTCTTCTTTCAGATTGATGACCCCGGCAGCAGCCTTGAGGAGGTGATTGAAGAGGCCGACGCCATTACCTCCGTGAACAATCTGGGAAGCAAGCAAGCCTTGAATGCAGACTACCTTGACTCTAACTATGAGATCGGACAGCTGTACCCATTCCTCCTTAGCAGTGGCCCCCAGGTGCCCACATTCCCACTCACAAATTCAGTTCCAATGACCCGGTCTTTCCGGGAACGATGGCACGTGAATCTCAACAGCCTCATGGAGCGAGCCTTGATCCCACACTGTGGCGACGGCAAAGACCTGTATATCATCACGGGCGCCATCCCCTCGGACTCCAGAGTTAAGGGCAGAGTGGCTGTCCCAGAATTTGTCTGGCTGGCAGCCTGCTGTGACGTCCCCGGTGGAGGATGGGCCATGGGCTTCACCAAGCACACCCAGGACAGTGGCATCATAGAAGACGTGATGGTGAGGGACCTTGAACAGCTGCTTCCTCATAAGCCTCAGCTGTTCCGGGACAGCTGTGGAGAGAGGGAGCAAGACACGGAGAAGATGAAGAAGATTCTGGAAGTGGTCAACCAAGTCCAAGAGGAGGAGCGGTCTCTGACGACTCAACACAGCATGAGTCCCCTCGCCGGCACCCAAAGCCAGAGGTCTGCCCCGCTGTCCCCAGAGGCACGGGAGGGAGGAGGCAGCTTTCTGGGGAAAGTCCTTGGTTTCCTTTTAACCCCGGTCATCAAACTTTTCCAGTTAACTTATTACCTTGTGATAGCAGTCTTAAGGAATGTCATCTACCTCCTTTGGTTTGTGACCAAGCAGGTGATAGATGGCATCGAGAGTTGTCTATACCGTCTGGGCGCAGCCACTGTGTCATACCTTGTAGCCATTGGACAAGAGTTGGTGGGCATTCCCTGGAAAGTGCTCAAGGTCGTGGCCAAGGTCATCAGGGCCCTTCTCCGCATCCTCTGCTGTCTGCTGAAGACTGTCTGCCGAGCTCTGAGCATCCCTCTGCGAGTCCTTGTGGATGTAGCTACTTTCCCTGTGTATACCGTGGGGGCCATTCCCATTGTGTGCAAGGACATTGCTGTGGGCCTGGGGGGCACTCTCTCCCTCCTCTTTGACACTGCTTTTGGCACCATGGGTGGCCTGTTTCAGGTTGTTTTTAGTGTCTTCAAGCGGATTGGCTACAGGGTTACTTTCGACAACGCTGGGGAGTTCTAGGACTCAAAAACCTAGCTGTGTCCACTGTGGTGTATTTCATTTCTTTTCAACAGAGAGCGAGGATATTCTGTTTTTACAGCAGGTTTCTGTTCTCGGTCAGCTACTGTGTTGTTCTGTTCGCCTGCGGGGTGGGTTGTCTTTTTCTGCAAAGGAGTTTGGCACACTTTAGACTTGAGGGTAGGTACGGTGTCCGCGTGCACAGCAGTTACACACGCAAGCTTCCATGCATGTGTTAACATCAGCACTGGGCTCTGACTCAAGAGTGACCTGGGCCGACCCAGGCTTGTTATGAAAACTAAAACTAAGGAGGGAGAGGATGACATTAAAGGTTATAAGAAACGGAGAAAGAATCTTGCACCTTCCATTCCCCTTAGAGACTTAAGGCAAACGATCTGAATACTGTTGTCCAGCCTCTTAACGTTTCTTTCTCTTCCTCTCCCACTCAGCCAACCGGGGTGACTTCTCTGTTGAAATCCCTCCCTATGAAGGCAGCGTCAGCCTCAACTTTGACTTTTGCCTGGTCTCAACGGCTTATTTGATTTTCATTTTTCTCCCAAAGTTGAATTCTGCTGAGTCACAATGAGCATTTTATGCCAAATACGGCATAGTAAAATTTGAATGCAACCCTGATTAGGGTAGGTCAGGTCCCTCCAGGTGTAGAGAGCAGAAAAGAGTGTTCAGTGGTGCTGTATGTCCAAGGGCATTCCTAGGGAGGCTTGGATTGACTTACAGTGAATCTCTGATTGACAGCATTAAATACACATATTTGCATGTTAATCTAATATTCATATTTTGTAACATCTAATGCATCAAGTGACTATTCCATGCCATGAAGCACTCTGACTTTTCTCCTGAAGTGAATGCTATAACTATCTAGGTAATAGAAAACATGAAAAACATTCTGGCCATATCGGGCAATAATACATGTATGTACATATTTAAGAATCATTATCTCTTAGAACACTATTTTTACAGGGTATTTGAGGCTAAAAAAAAATGTAAGTCCTTCACTGATGCAAGTTAAACTTGAGAGCTTATTCCCGGATTTTGATCAATCACTTGTAATTTTAAATCTTGCACTAAGAATTATAACAAAGGGAACCAAACATTCCCACAGCGGGAATGGATTGTCCAGTGTTTTCTTCTGAGTGTTCCAAAGAGTTTCTGTGAAGGAGAAAAGGGCCTAGTGTGGACTTAACTTGGGTGTGTACCAGTTGGCTGGAAGTTAGTTGTAAAGACTAGGATCTAGAAGAAAACAGAGGGAACGACACATTCGCTGTCACAGGGGAGCTGGCATGTGAGAACCCAGCGTTTGCCAGAAGTTTCCTCTGTGTAAATGGGAGTGTGAGGACCTGTGTTGGCATTGCTGGGCTAAAAAAGGGACTCTCAGAAGTAGCCACAGAAGCGGTCTGGCCAGGCCCTCATGTGTTTAGGTCCCAGAGGCACAAGGAGGCTGTGGACTTGACTCTGCAGTGCTAGCTGGAAGCAGGTTGTGACAAACTAAGACACCCCGTCACATGGGTGTGCCTCCCCGAGCATAGGTAGGACTTTATTACCTATAAAAGACTTCATGTTCTGAATCATCAACTGGATTTGGCACAGTTAATGCCAGCTATCCATATGAAACTGTATCTCGTGGGGCCCTCTCCTGTTCAGTGAATATTGGCATTCTGAGAAGTCCTAGCAGGGCGCTCATGGCACCAGAACCCCCTATTTAGGGAACTACTTAGAAATACCCCCTCCCTGTATCCAGATGTCTGGTTATTTATTTTGTGTGGCTTCTTTTTTTTAAATACGGAAAGGATAATAAGACAAAAACATATCCTTTAGGTTAGTGGGCTGTGACCCTTCATTCTGGGGTTTCCGGTTGGCAGGGCCCCGGAGTCACAGGAACCAGGTGCATTTGTGTTTGAAGTCAGATCTCTGGGCTGCTGGGCTCCCTCCCAGCAGGCTACTGGAGACTCTGAGGTGGGAGTTTAGGAAGCTGAACCCTGTCCTCAGCTCGGAGACTCTGCTGTGGCTTCATTCCTTTCTCAGGCCCTTGGGAACATTGGCCAACTCTGTCATTTCAAGAGCTGCTTTTCTAGTCCCTGGCAGCCATGTTCTCAAATGTCCCCTCTGCCTTGGCGCCTTGGCCACACAATCAAACTAGGGAATGGAAAGAACCAAGTCATCCGCCTGTGCACCAAATGTGCGTTCGGCCATCAAGGCTGCCGAGGCGGAGAGTTCCACCAATAAGGAGTGTCTAGTACCCTTCGGAAATGGGCAGCGTGGTCCATGCTGTGATGTATCATGGCAAGCTCCACACGAGGGGTATTTGACCTGTTTGCTGCAGAACACGGAGGAAACCTGCAAGACCAGGGAACGAAGGACGCTGTGGCAGAGGGTTTGGCTGCATCAAGCTTTGTACAACGCTGTGTACCTTGTAGATGCTCAATAAAGTCATTGTTGACAACTCAGTGGTTCTGTATGGTTTATGGGGGGCATCTGAATGCTTGGAGTGAGGTTTGGGGCTCTCTGATTACTTTCCTTTCTTCATCTTCCTCCGTGAGGCTGGAGAATAAACCTAGCTATTGCTAGGAGAGAGCTCTACTACTGAGTTCTACACCACGCGTGTTTCCTTCTCTTTCTCTGTATCTGTGTGCGTGTGTGTGTGTGTGTGTGCGTGTGTGTACACCTGTGCACGTGTGGAGGCCAGAGGTTGAGGCCAGGTGCCTTCCTCTTGCTCTCCACCTTGTTTTTTGTTTTGGTTTTTTTTTTGAGTCAGGGTCTGAACCTGGCTCATGTGTTGGGTGCCTTGTCTATTGCACATCACGCATGTTTTACACAGTGCTGTACTACAAGCATAGAGCTGGGCTGTTTGCCTCTCAGGTGAGTTCTCAGAGTTCTCCAAGATCATCACTTGCTGTCTAAAGGACACAGTGCAAACCGACTAAGCACTCATGACCACCCATGTCGGTCCCAGGCGTCAGTGTGAGATGCTCCCTGGCAGGGGGCAGGTCCCTTGAGTCCCGGCTTACCAACTTTCGTGCATAAGTTACTTACCTTTGCTTCTCACATGAAAGGCAGGGCCAAGCGAGCATTCCCCAGGCCGGGCCATCACAAACACTCTAGATGAACTAGACAGTGATCACAAAGCATCTATTACCATGCACACTGCTCAATAGATGTGAGCTGTGCTGCTGCCGTTGGCACGCACGTTCTGGGTGAGCGTGACTGGGAGTCTCCCTGAAGATCATGATTTTTTTCTAGATCAAAGGGGAAAGAGCCAAAGTCCAAGTTACAGGGCAGGAGTCAATATCACGAATTAAAGCGAAGGAAACCAGAGTGCCCCGCTGGTGTCCGTGACTCTGAGAGACCGGCAGGAGTCTCTAAGGAGTAAGAGAAAACAGAAACCTCTGTAGGAAGGGACACATGAGGCTCTGCCTCTTCAGGCCTCTGCCTCATGGGGCCCAGTGTTTCATGACAGATGTGGCTTCCCTGGACTTCTACTTAGGTGAGAGGGAGACACGCAGATGGCAACATCTTAGCTGCCAGAAAGTGGTCCTCACTATAAACAGCCATTCTGCATTCATCAGCCTCTTAGATAAGGCACGAATTCACTCACAGGCCTGGGAAAACGACGAGGTAGACTTTCCGGATCTCTGCAGCTGGACACAGATTGTCAGGCTCGGTGGCGAGTGTCTTTATCCCTCTAAGGCACCTCTCTGGCACCAAGTCTTAGTTCGTAAGACCCAGTGCATTTGCCTCCGCAGTAGTATGTCTACACACCTAGGACTGAATCCCTGGGATAATAGGCACTCACATAAAAGATACCATGTGGGTCATTTAACAGGAAGACCTCCATGGGAAACAAGTCCCACAGCGCAAAACGCTAAGGTGAGACTAGATTGGAGAATTTACTTCATGACACTCCTGGCACTGGCAAACCCTGACCAGCCCAGGCAGTTCCCAGCACCAGACAGTAGCTCCTGGTGGCACTGCTGAGGTTGCAAACAAAAGCATGCTCTCCTGAACATATCTGCAGATTGTGATGCCAAGTGTCCACTGTTTGCCCGAATCCAGAAGGGAAGCAGGGTGGGGGGCTTGCTACCCGGCCCCCAGGGGCTGTTTCCCAGTGCATAACCGCCTTTTGCAGACACTGCTGCTGCTCTGTTTGTAAACAAGGAGAGGATGCTAAGCAGCAAGGCTCGGCAGCTACACTATTATATTTCTCCTCCTCCTTCTCTTCCTCCATCTCCTCTCCCTCCTCCTCCTCCTCCGTCTCCTCTTTCTCCTTTTCCTTCTTCTCCTTCTTCTACTTCTCCCTCTCCTCCTCCTCCTCCTCCTCCTTCTTCTTCTTCCTCCTCCTCCTCCTCCTTCTCCTTCTCCCTCTCCTTCTCCCTCTCCTTCTCCTCCTCCTCCTCCTCCTCCTCCTCCTCCTCCTCCTCCTCCTCCTCCTTCTCCTCCTCCTTCTTCTTCACAGATTTGTGGGATATAGGAGTTACTAGAGCAGTTAACCTGAAGGCATTTAAGAAACTACTCATGCTCCTTGTTCCCAGGTAACATCCCAGTAGCCTGCAGCAATTTGGGAAACCTCACCACTTGGCTCTTCCTATAGCTTACAAAAGCAAACAGTCTGAGGAGAGCTAAAACACTGTCTCCAGACTATCAGTGACCTTACGAAATCTTGCAGCAAGCTGGAAACCATTTCCCCACACAAAGAGATTCCTGTTCTGGAGATAAGAGGCTATCTGGCCCACGTTACTGAGATTTGGGAGGATCCTACCTAAAGGCAGCATCCCATGAACCCAGAGCCTTCCTGACTCAAGTCAAGTCCTTGATTATGAGTGCTGGGAACACATTGAGAGATCTCCTAAGACCAGGAAATTGCTCCATTAAGTGTGAGTATAGGAACATTCCATGGTGGGTGGATGATGGTGGCATATGCTTTTAATCCCAGCACTCGGGAGGCAGAGGCAGGCCGCTATCTGTGAGTTTGAGACCAGCCTGATCTACAGAGTGAGTTCTGGGACAGCCAGCGCTACACAGGGAAACTGTGTCTTGAAAAACCAACCACCAAAAAGCATTCCATGGCAAGTAAAGTAGAGCTGAGAGAAACAAGGTCGGCTGAGGCGCTTCACTCATACCCAGTGGAGTTGGTACCTACGACACAGCCTTCTGGAGTCGGGGAAGGAGTTCCCTGACATGGGACGCTCGGGCTGATTTCTTTGGCTTTTCACTGTTAGTGTGACCCTCTGAAAGCAGCCTTGGTGGTCACACCACCCCACATCACCCTGGTGCGCACCCCCACCCCCACCCCCGCTTCCAAGCGTATATACCAACGTATCATTGTGAGCTGGCTCCCCACACCACTGAGCTATATTCCAATAAGGAGCAGAAGACACGCAGACCAGGACACACAGAGAGGGGCCAGCAGAAAAGGAACCGAAAAGCCACAGAGAGGCCAAGACATGCTGTGAGCCCAGAGGCCGTCTGGGGGAACGGCTCTGAATATTTACAGATCTACACTCAGTTATCTCAGCGTAACGCCCCACGTCATGCTTTATCCCATCCCTCTTTCCCAGTCCGCCTCAGCCGCTCTTCCAGGCCCCGTCTGGCTTCCTCTGCTGACCCGGCTCTGTGAAGTGAGCACAGTGAGCAGACTCCCAGCCTTCTGCAGGCTGCTTTACTGTGGCAAAAAGGGAAGAAGAGATTGCAAGGTGTTTCGGTTTTCTGCGTGACGGGAGCGTGTGATGGCCTCAGGTGCCTATGCTGTGTCGGTCTGTGGTCAGCTCTGCTTCTCGATTGAAAAGAAGGAAGGGCCATCAGGTTAACCTCTTCTTCGTTCCCTGAGAAACTTCCTCCAGTCAGCTCCATTCCTGCTCACTGGAGCCCACATTTGGGTTCTCGGTTCTGGAGAAAACTGAGTCAAAATCGACACACAGCACTGTGCAGCCGTGCTCACTCTTGCTGAGACACCCTCCTCTGAGTTAGGGCTCAGTTTCCAGTCTGTCCAGGACCCAGAAGCCGTGTTGGGTGAGAATTCTGCTGTGATCTCTGAAGATAACAAAATGCAGTCTCTAGAAAGGGGCTCATTGTTTCCACACTTAGGCAATTCCATCAGGTTACTGATAGGAGGAACAGCAGCCAGGGGTCACCAAGCACTGGTCAGTAAAGTGTGTTTCTGTTGGACTTTGCTATTATAAAGGAGGACACTGGGCTTGCGTCCCCCTTAGTGAGGCCAGGGCCACACAGGAAGTTAATGGACTTGTCACCTGAGCTCTCCCTCACAGATCTCACCCCAGATAAGGAAGCCACGATGGATGAGTAAGGAAGCCAGGATGGATGAACCGAAGTTTGCCTTGGTGAACCAACGAGTTTACTGCAGTTGCTTGCAGGGATGTGGGAGAGGGGCTACTCACAGGGGCAGGAAAGACTCAAAAGCATCTGTACCTCTGAAAAGACTCCACAGTTGATAAACAATGGTGTGGGTTCATAGCAAATGTAAGTTCATAAAAAGGAAGGAAAAAAAAAACCCAAACAATATTGTTCCAAAGACAAGTTATCAGCTCCTCGGCAAAGTCAAGAAAGAGACCAAAGAATAAATGCAAAGTCTGGTCCTTGGGTTATAGGACAATGGTGTAGAGAAATCTGGAGATGCATCGCACAGCTCCCATCTCTTCCAAGTGGTCCATTAGAAATGGATAAGGTCACCATGTATGCTATTGTTTGGCTTATGCTGGGGATGAGAGAGCTGAACCCCTGGCCAGGCTGTGAAAGTGACGCTGATGGCCAAGGAGTCCCACAGACCATCACCTTCAAGGGGCTGAGCAGAGGCTGAGGTGAGCTTGAATCACACTATAGTCCCCCAGTTCTGCTTTAAGAAGGAGGAGGCACTTGCAGACACATGGCTTTCCTCTTTGGCAGTGCCTTCGTGAACTCTCCGCCACTCCTGCGGGCGATCCCCCTACCTGAGCCTCCCGGCCAACTCGGTTGCTCCTGAGCCTCCTTAGTCCAGGTGTCTAGAATCCACCTCTAATTGGGATCTACTTCCGCCTCTGAGGACTACCCCATATGCTCCTCCCATTCATACACACGCTCAGCTCTCCACTTTCCACTCACTGACCACTGCCCCAGACTACAGAAGTCCCAATCTTCTGTGGTTTGTCCTACAGCTTCTGGAATTGACTGTTGTGGGTTGTGGGATTCCCGCCCGGGTCCGGGCACCACTTTAGCCCCCAAAATAACACACGGAGACTCTATTAGTTACAATGCTGTCGGTCAATGTCCAGAGCTTCTCAGAGGCTAGTTCTGTCTTAAGTATATTAACCCATGACTACTAATATATATTTCACTAAGGACTTATCTTTCCGAGGACGCCCTCCTGACGCGCCACACCCCCACCCCTCAACCCCGAGATCACATGTCGACCCTCACTCTTGACTACATTTCCCAGAATTCTCCTTGACTCCTAGTCACACCTATCTTGCTTCCCTATTGGCCAACAGTGCTTTTTTTTTTTTTACATAAGCACAGCAGGACTTCCCCCATCAATTGTCTGTACCCCATCCTGCCTGCCCCAAAGCACACACTGATTGCCACCTCCCCCAAGAGGTCCAGGCATTTGTAAGGCACCCACTCACCTCTAAATTCTTAGATCCCTTCTCTACATTCCAAAGGAATTGCTCTACACTTTCCCCACAAGGTTTATAATTCTAACTTCTGTGTCCTTTTCTGCCTAGAAAAGGTTTGGTGGTATTATAAAGGATGGTGCACTCTTTGAAGACGATTAAACAGATTGAGTCCCCCTCACAATACAAACACATTGTTAATTACAAAACCTGCTGTGAGCTGGTTAAGAGAGCAGCTCCATTTTGTGCAAACTGTAACTGCAGTCACTCCTAGAGATGTTAATAAAACCCTGGCCAAACTTACCAACACAGAGGGTAGAGGAGAAGACATCGATCTGTGATTAGAGAGAAGACATTGATCTGTGATTAGAGAGAATCCACTATACCAGGAAGCAAGCTTTCTGCGGCTCGTGTGGATTGGTGCTTCTCCCAAAACCTGAGAAGGATTCTAGACCATTAGGGGGATGGTGACGGGCTCAGACTCACGTGGTGTGTGCTTTGCTCAAAATGAAAAACTCGAACACTAAAACCAAACCAAACCAAAACAACAAATCCAAAACGTGGCACAGGCTTTACGATTGTCATTTAAAATAGAAAGTTCTAATCCAGGCTGAAGAGATGGCTCAGCCCTTAAACAACACTGTTCCTAAGGATGCAGGTTAGAGTTCCCGCACTGACATCAGCAGCTCAGCCTGTCCCCCGACTTCAGTTCCAGTGATCTGGCGCCCTCTTCTGGCCGCCATGAGCGCTGCATACATACGGTGCTCTCACATCCATGTACTCAAAACACTCATAGGCGGAAAATGAAACAAGAAATTTTCAACCCCCGCGTTTGGCGTTTGTACATACCTCCTGTTTAAGAATCCATAAAACTCAGCTGTCTGTGGAGAACTGATAGCCACACAACCTCAGCAGCTGTTGCCGGTGTGGTTTCCAGTGACCCCGGCATGAACTCGCGATAGTTTTGTAATAACTGGCTTCACCTGCCTCTGAGATTCCCCAGCCTGTTAAAAACATGGCGTCAGCGGGAAACCCAAGGAGGCTGCTGTTGATTTTTGCTGGTGTTGTTTTTGAAACAGACTTGACCCCACGGAATCCCCTGCATTTTTCCTGAACTTCATACAATAGGGTGTTTTTTCTTTTGCTTCTCGGTTTTGTCTTGTTTTGGATGTTCTGGGAGCTAGGGGTCTAATGCTGAGTTAACAAGACCTGAGCAATACCCCAGAAGACCTCTGCTGGCTGAAGTTCCGGAGATAGGCAGGCTCTCCCTCCTGCCCTCCCTCCCTCCTGCCCTCCCTCCCTCCTGCCTTCATCTTCCCTCCATCCCGTCCTTCCTTGACAAGATCAGCAGGCACATGACGTGTAGGCAGGTAGGTGAGTCTGCCAACTTCAGGATCTTGATCAAGAAGTCAAGGCGCCCAAGAACGGCCCCTGGAAGCACGGGGTGGTCTGAAGAGAAGCCAGCAGCAGGCTCCAGAGTGCGGGAGAGCCGTGTGCGGTGAGAGTCACCGGTGGAGAGCGAAATGACCCGCTCCTCCCACTGCCTGTGCCCTCTGTATATGGAACCGCAGAGAGACTGCCCACACGTCTGCCTCTGACATTACCAGTGGCTGCTCTTCCTGGAGTACATAGGGCTTAAAAATATTTTGGATTATGAAAATACTCGAGAGGGCACTCTGTCACTGAATGCAGTGACGCCAAAACTCTTTTCTATTTAGAAAGTCTGTGACTACACAGACAGCTTGCCTGGGACAGGTGCCCATTAAGTGAGGGCTAGGAGGTGCCTGACTGGTATCCAGGACTTGGAGCTTGTAAGCGGATTACATTTTAAAAGGCTAGTAATCGCCGACAGAACACTTCATTAATCCATTTGTATGAATTATCTCATTTAATTTTCATAACACCGCCAGGGGGTGGCATGTGGTTTCAGCGTAATAAACTACTCTATGCCTTAGTGGCTAAAACCAACATAATTACACTTCTTGCTTGTCAGTTTCTGGGCTCAGTAGGGCTATTCTTGTGGGGATCTTGGAATTGCAGTCAGGTGGCGGCTGGGGCTGTACTCATCTGAAGGTCAAAGAGGTAGGATGCCCTGGAATGTCCATTCGCTTGGCTGGCAGCAGACACCAGCTGCCCACTGGCACTGCTAACCATGGCATCCCACACAGCAGCCCTGAGAGCATCAGTTTCTCACCGCTTGGTGCCTGGGTTATCAGAGAAAACATTCTCAAAGATCCAGCCAAGGTGGTTATCCCAGAAGAATCCTCTACACAAGGCAATGGCCAAGCAGGTCAACCCTGCCCAGACGGACAGACAAGTCTCTGTTTAGCGATGGATGAGTGGATGCTGGGTCTTTTCTGAGGAGCAGCTGGGATGGAAGAGATTCGTGGTGAACAGTGAATCAGCCACGGGCAGTCGCTATTAATGTCTCATTTGGCAGGTAAGGAAACTTCAGGATGAATTACTGAGGTTTGATGATGTGCCTGTCTGTAACTAACTCCAGAGCCGTCCTGTCCCTTCTGATGCTTGTAGCTTCATGCAGGGTGGAGCCCTCAAACCCTAGAAACAAAGAAGCCATTCTTTTCAGGATAGTCATGAACATGAGGAAAAATGTATATGAAAATACTGTATAAAGCAGAAATCTGACCCTGAGCAGGGTTTGTGGTGTGATTAGGAGCTGCTCGGGGCTCCACGCCCAGTGCTTTGGATGCTTGCATGCAATACCGAAATGCATCCTGCAGATGCCCCCACCTCTCGCCCTGAATCACCCAGCCCTAAAACACAAAGCCAGCGCTGACTGTAGACACTTTCTGTTTTGTGGGTGGGCTTCCAGAGAATCACTGAGAAGTGATAAATGAATTAATAAAGATACTAGGAGGAAGTCCCCAGGGTGCTCAGGGACAGGGGGTGGGAACCAACCCATCAAAAAACTGGAAAACCAGAACAAAACAGGGTCCTCAGGGCCAAAGCCTTGGAGAGGAAAAGCCGCAGGCAGATGTAAAGGTGAGCTGTGCCACAGCCACAGAGAACTTAGCAGACCCTGTGACTCTGAGGCTGGGACAGACCCTCTGAGTTGTCTCAGCAGTGGCAAAGGCCTGCACTGTTAACACCAGTCCATTTCCCAGGACAGGCAGCAAGGCAAATGGCTGCTGAGTACATGATGCGGCCAGTCAAGATGCCACATCTGAGCATCTAGTAGCTGATGTGTCTGGGCAGGCAGTCAAGGCCCTAGCCATGTGGAGAACAGTATTCATGGCCCCAACTCCTAGACAGTACTCAAAGGGTAAGGCCAGGTCTCTTAGCTGAAACAGAGCAAGCACCAAGGCAATGTTGTAACTGGTTTCTTGCAACCTGCAGGCTGAGCATTTTAATGAACATGAACTGGATTCGCATATAGTATTGAATTAATTTTCCTCTAGGGCTCCAAATTGCAGCCATATACCTAAGTAGATGCTCTAAACCAGTGGTTCTCAACCTGTGGGTCGCACAGAGTCACCTAGGACCACCAGAAAACAAATATTTACAACACGATTCATAACTGTAGTTAACTTTCAGTTACGAAGTAGAAATGTAAACAATTATATGGTTGGGGGGTCGCCACAGCATGAGGAACTGTATTGAAAGGTTGTAACATTAGGAAGGTTGAGAACCACCGTTCTAAGCTGTAAATAATCCAGGGACAAATCATCCATGGAGGGCTCGGGTAGCAGGCTGTGCACAAACAAGCCAGTCGTGTCTCCAAAGGGTAGCGTGCAAAGCGGAAGCAGTCAGACAAAGCCTGCAGACCTTGCCAGACCCCATCCTTCAGTCTGTGGCTGGTCCAGCCTCCCCTTCCTAAGCTGTGGGGAACCGGAAGAAGACGGTGTGGGGAACCGGAAGAAGCCGGTATGGAGAACCGGAAGTCGGTGGGGAAGCAGATAAGATGAAATTGAGGTTTTATGGGTGATGAAAAAAATAAAGGAAGAGAAGAAGAGAGTTGATGGGAGGGAAGGAGGTGGTCACATTTATCAGGAAAGAGTGATAAGATCCCAAGTGTTGCCAGAACACATTGACCCTCCCTCTGCACCTGACTCCCTGACTCCTCTGTCCCTTGGTCCCCAGTCTACCTTCCTGTCCCCTCCAAATAGCCTCCGATCCCAAGGATGGCACTGACACTGGTAGTCATGTTGTGGGCTGCGTGTTTCTTGGCCTCTTATACAAAGCGTTGAAAAGTTCGGCGCCACACACATTTGTAAGAGGAGCGAGGTCATTTTCTCTGGGGTGAAGCACTGGCACACGAAACCCAGCAGACTGACGGAGCCCATAGACGGATGGGGAGTGGGAAGATGCCATTTACTGTGGCACATGGAACCGGAGCCAAGCAATGCTTGCCAGGGCTTTCGGAGGGCTGGGATGAAAAGGGAACAGTGTCTCAGTGGCATTACCCCTCGACACTGGGTGTGGTGGGAGACGTATGCATCTGTATCCGTCTGTATTTCTACAGTTATAACTGTATATTATCTACATATCTGCCCCGTTATCTGTGTCTACACGGCTGCACATCTGTTTCACCATTAGCTGTACTTATCTATTCCTTTGTGGTTCCTAGTTAATTTCTCCAAGCCAGACAGCACTGTGTTTGTGACTCCTCTGTCATTTATTGGCGGCAGACTTTACACAAAGTCTAGAGCCTTCCCTGAGGGTCTGCTGTCAGCAAGGAATGGAAGGTTGGCAGGTGCCCACGGTGCAGGCAAAGCTCCACCCCACCTTCCCCTGGGGTGATAATGATGGCCTTTGTTTTCTCTGCAGGCAGAAACCTCCCAGAAGAGCTGGCCTTGCTCTTTCTTTGGCAGCCTAAAAGAGACAGAGGCCCAGGGTGTGGGGGATCAGGACCAGCCAACTGAATGTGACCACAAAAAGACATTATTTTCCTCTAAGGCAGAGACGCCTAGCTGCCTGAGAGAAAGTCTTACCGACGCACAATGGCTGTCCCCAAACAATGCCTTTGTCAAATTTGAGCCGGCAGGAAAAACAAAATGTCAACAACAGTACCTTTTCCCAGGAGTAGGCACTGACTTGGTTGGGGACCTTTGCACACAGTGGACATGTGGACACCTGCAAATTCAGAGGCCAGAGATGAGAAGGAATGAAGCCCTCGGATGGGCCTGGCTGCCTGGTAGTTGCAAGGATACCTTTGTGCCCTGTGCAGGACCTGAGAGTGAATGGTGTTTGGTTCTAATGCAGGGCATTGCAGATCTAGGGCAAAGTGTTTGTTCGCAGCTGTGACTGAGCGGCTGTGCCTGGCTCCTGGAACATCCTGGGAGGGAAGAGCTATGTGAGTCCCAGTCACCTCCCTTTTCCGGCTCTGAGGACACATGGCAGGGGTGTGAGAAGAAGGCCGGTGACACAGCTGGACCAAGTCTGTTCACTTCTACTTTTCTTTGGATTGGAGTCTTGGAGAGTGGAGGACGCTTCCAGACATAGCCCTGGTTCTTCGCAATCTCCTGGGCTCCCGGAATCCACCCTGGGGAGAGCCACTAGTCTGGGTCCCAGGGGGCCCCTCTGCTTGGCCAGGTGCGTGCCTGCCCACCTTGAGGGTCCTCTCTTTGGTCACCTGACTAATTTACATCTAGAAAGTGCCCCTGGGGGTTCGTGGGTGTGTCTGACAGCAATGGGGGGTAGGGGCAGGAGTAGAAGCTGCTGGAAGGCAGTACTTTCAATGGGAGTTAGGTGTTGTGAAGGCTGAGTGTACATCAGGCTCAGACAGATGGCTTACTTCTTTCCCGGTGGCCAGACAGCACTCTGAACGCCACAGTGCCTGCATTTCCTATCATTGCCTGCAGAGGGCATGCTTATTCCAGGTTTCTGAGCATGCCCCCGAGCATCTTCCAGGTTGACAGCCATCTTCTTGGCAAGGCTTCTCTTTCCCGACCCTCTCAGGTCAGCGTGGGCGTCCCTCAGGGGTTCCAACGAGCCAGGCTTTCCAAGAGGAAGTTTCTGTCTCTTGTCACTAGTAAAGCCCCATCCCTTCTTCCTTTTACCAAGTGTTAACATTTGAAGTAGCTGATAAGTCTCCAACATGAGGCGAGACAGAGAAGGGCTGTGTCCGTGTGTCCGTGTGTCCATGTGTGAGACTGACCACCCGTGTGAGGAGGCCTTGGCTGCATGCTGTGGTAATGGCCACCACTGGGGTCAGGAGAACTTGATGGCCTCAACTGTCCTCATGAGTCCCCTCTTAGAGTGGTTCTTCTTGGCAGTTAAAGGCTCGTGATGCTCTCCTCATTAAACACACATTTATGGAATACCTACTACGTGCCAGCTGAGGAGTCTCTGTGGGGCCTGTGGTCAGACCCCGAGTGTCCAGTTTCTGGGAAGGGCAGATGAATAGAGCTCCACAGGCGTGGCGGATGGCGTGAAAGCGGTGGAGAGCTTCTTTGACATTTAGCAGCAGACGGAAATTGATATTCACAATCTGAAAGCCAGAGTAGAGGAGGGAGAGAGAGAGAGAGAATTGAACCTTGAACCACAGGAGCAGTACTAGATTTAAAAGGTCTCCTGTCCCATTGAGAACAACTCTGAGAAGGATGGAGTGGCCCTGACCAAGCCTGGAAAACTTTGGAAGAGAGTAAAGTGGCCTTGGAGCAACTAGAAATGTCGCTTGGCAGACACGTGTTTGAAGAGGGCCTAGCCAGAAAGGGGAAGTGAGGTTGTCAGGGTACAGATGTGGGCTGGAAGGACTTCCAGAACTGCTGTGATCGGGAGGGGTTCTTCCAGGACTGCTGTGATTGGGAGGGGTTCTTCCAGGACTACTGTGGTTGGTGGGGGGGACTCGAGGAAATCCAAGCTCTAGGGAAGTGGTTCTCAACCTGTGGGCCGCAACCCCTTTGGGGCTCACATGTCAGTTATCCTGCATATTAGACATTTACATTAAAATTCATAACAGCAAAATTGCAGTTATGAAGTAACAGCAAAACTAATTTATGGTTGGGGTCACACAACATGAGGAACTGTATTAAAGGGTGGCAGCATCAGGAAGGTTAAGAAGCACTGGTCTAGAGGGTGGGTTTATTCACCCATTATTTGTGCCTCAGAAAGGAACAGTTTATACACTGTAAGTGCCGCTCCTAGAACGGACATGGAAAAAACATCAGCGTGAATGAATGGAGAGCAAGTCACACAGCCGTGTGTTTGGGCAGAAGAGCTGAGTAGTCTACCCTGGACCAGTTAGTAAGTAGGGGCACTGCGGTTGAACAAGTCCAAGCAATGGAGGCCAGGGGGTGGGGTGGCAAAGCTGTCATCCTGTCACCCTCTGGTCAAAATAGCCAGGCAGGCAGTACAGCACAGGAGAGACACGGCTTCCACAGCGTGCACACGGCAGGTGGTGTGGCCTGGGCTCGCTGTTACGCTCACAAGCAGAAAGATGTGTCCGCCATGGCAGTCCTGGGGGACTGGAGCAGTCTCTTGTCTGCTTCAGGCTGCATCTCTGTGTCTGGGGCTGCTTCTTCGCCTTTGCCACACAGCCTGAGTCTGCTGCCTGCTCTGCGTGTTCAGCCCTCACTACCTCTCACGCCTGCTCCTCAGAGAACGGCACCCGCCTGCCCGCTCCTTACCTGCCCGCTCCTCAGAGGACGGCACCCGCCTGCCTGCTCCTCACCTGCCCGCTCCTCAGAGAACAGCACCCGCCTGCCTGCTCCGTAGAGAGAGGAGCCCCCTCATGGCTGTGTGGCTCCCTCACGGGTCTGCATTGACTTCTTCCTTGATATATTTTGCTTGTCGTATTCCACATAGGCAAGGCTGCCAGATTCAGCAAAGGGGGGGGGGGGGGGGATTAGATGCTCCTCTAAATTAAAACTTGAGTCAAAAGACATTGTGTGGCCCAAACTTCCTCATGTTTTAAACATTTTCCTATGGAATACAACTGTCCCTGGGTGTCCTGTAGCTTTACTCGGGAACCTTATGGGAATGACAGTTTTAAAATCCCATTTCCATCGTTTTAAATCCTTCCAGCAGTTCCTGCTGTCTCTGCGGCTGGGGCCAGGGACTCAGATCCATGTAGGCAGTTACTGCAAAGATGACAGTGGGCAGGGGGAGGAAGTATGTTTGGAGGTAGAAGCAGGGCAAATATTTCCCCATCCCAGACATTTACATGTAGATTTAAAAAACGATACAATGAATCTAAACCGAAGCGCCCACGTGCACGCTCTCTCCTCTGTCTCTCTCTCTGTCTCTGTCTCTGTCTCTGTCTCTGTCTCTGTCTCTCTCTCTGTCTCTGTCTCTGTCTCTCTCTCTCTCTCTCTCTCTCTCACACACACACACACACACACACACACACACACACACACACACACGCACTCCACACACACACCCAACCTGCACACCAGTTTTCAGATCACCAGTTTCCCAGTGGGAATCCTGGCCTCAGCCAAACCACCTGGTCTTCACCCCTTGATTGGGCTCTTTGCCCCCCTCTCTGAAGACCAGGGTGCACGCACCCACAACACTTCCTGGCCACACCTGTCCCCTCCCTACTCCAGTTTCAAGCAGTTTCCAAGTCAGCACTTTCAACTTAAATGGTGCTTCATGCAGAGCTGGTTAGAGCCCAACCTTGGAAGATGGTTCTTTTTAAGGCTTCATTCCTGTTGGGCACATGTTTCAAAGCCAGACTTTGAAAAGAATTCCACTTTGGCAAACTCTGTCTTCTGGTTCTGAGTAGGGACAATGCCCAAGGAACATTGCCGACTGTTTAAATAGGTTACAATCCTGGAAAAATGAAAATTAGACATTAAACTTGGCAAAAGAGACAGGCCCTGGCCAGGTAACTTCCACTTTGGCTAACTCTAGAGGCTTTAAACGTGTTCTGATTCGTTGGTCCACCCAGTGCCATTCTGGCCGGTCTGAGCTGGGCAAGGCTGGCTGCCGGTTCTGGGACTGATGTGCAGACAGTTGTGCCTTCAAAGAACTCCCCCGCAGGGCTTCCTCCAATTCCAGACATCGCCGCTGCCTCTGGGAGCTGCGCGGCCAGCCAGGGCCCCTCTGCAGAGTCCAGTGCCATCTAAATCCTGACCTTCACCCTCTTCGCATAGTCTTTCTCATTCCACAGGAAGAGGTGTCTGGAGAAACGCAGCCTCTGGGAGGGTCAGCCTCAGAGCTGCTCAGGACAAAGCCGGCAGCCGAGTCTCAATCGGACACACTGGAAGTAGCTCTATTGCCCACCAACTTCAAAGAGTCCGTATGAGGGACAGGACTGCAGCGGAGAGACTGGGGATCATGGTCAGAAGGGAGACTAGCACGGGGCGGGAAAGGGTTCTACTGGGCTGGTGGTTTTCTTTCAGTCACCCTGTGTTGGTGTCTGGTGGGCAGAAACCGGCATACATGTGTACCAGGTGCGAGGAGAGGCTCTGCAGAAAGCGAGTAAAATGTGGAAGTGGCTAAAATCCAGTCCCTGGACGTCTCACCCAATGGAGGAGATGGGCATGAGTGCCGCGGGCACCGGAGTTGGCGGCACAGCACTGGGGTCCCGCGGCTCAGAGCACCCACCGGAGTTGGCGGCACAGCACAGCGGTCCAGCGGCTCAGAGCACCCACCTGGTGCCAGAGAGCCTGGCTTGGCCAGGCTGTGTGCCCTTCCGCTCAGCTTCCCTTTATATTGTGTTTTGCGTTCTGAGATTACTCATTTCAACTCCTGCTCCCTAAGGCGGGTGGGGCCTTGGTGCCTGGTGCTGTTTGCCACTCCCGTGGAGGAGGTGGGGGAAGGGTTAGGTGCAGAGAAAGGGGCAGCTCCTTGGATAAGGTAGGGTGCAGGGGCTTCAAAGAGGAGGTGTCATCTGCTTTGCACCCTGAAAGACCAGTGGGGAGTTCAGTAGACTTGGGAGGTTCAAGAGAAGCTGGGGTAGGGGCGTGTGTCAGAGGGAAGCCTGCATCCGTGGGCAAGGGCGCAGGTCCAGGGTGGGGGTGAAAGCCTGCACTGGGTCTGGGTAGGGTGGGAAGGGCCTTAAGCTCCCGGAACAGTCGCTGCTCCACCATCTTTCCTCTCACCGCTTCCACAAAGGAGGAAGACAAAGCATTTTAAGGAATTAAAAAATAAACACAGTCTACCCAGGGTCACTGAATCCGTTGGTGGAGCTGGGGTTTGAGGGGGGGGGCGGGTCCTGACTCTATGTGACTTGGTGCCCTGCGGCATTGCATAAGCCTGCTGCCTGGAAGCCGTGCTCCCCCCCCGTCCCCCGTGTACCCAGTTAGATTGGGTTGTTGCGTATCAGCCTACACTTCTCCAGAATTAAAGGAATCTAGAACGCCGGTGACACGGACCTTGCCGGATTAACATCGCCATTTAGTCTGGGGTGTTTCAGACAACTAACAAACCTGTTAAAGGTGTGCCCAGATGGCTTGGGCCCCAGTAAGTATGACCATCTGACCGCCTAGTGCTCTACGCATAAAAATCACCATGGCAACTACTGTTATCTTTGCTTTGGTGTTGGCTTGGCATGGCTGAGAGAGACCCCATACTGTCTGGGTAATTTTGCTTTAACCAAGGGCTTTGTTCCTTTAGGGACCCATCATGGACCACATTGTGCAGGCTCCAGGCCCGGGGAAGAGTCCAATTGCCATAAACAGCAGGCTGAGAATCCTTCTCTACCCGGATGAGACCCAGCATGAGCAAGATGGTTGATAAATGCCGGTCTGAGAGCAGTGAGTGGTGGCAGCCAGCAGGGAGGGCATTGGCAGGTGGCACTCTATTGTTAAGGTCCTCATGTCTGCGTGGGTATTAGGAGGACCCTTAGTCCCACAAACATCACAGCTCCTTTGCGGGCCTCGGTATCAGAACCCTGGACTCCGGACAGTGGCCAACTGTACTGTGGCCAGCTCTCTGGAGCCATGCTGGTGAGCAGGCCTGCGAGTCCTCCTCCTACCTGGTTCCTCCCAGCCTTTGATCAGTGCTCTACAGCTCTTCTTTTCCGACCATTGCCCTGGAATTGTCATCACCGGGGCTCCCTGACCCCTGTATCTGCTCTCTGGGCTGGCGGAAGTGCTGGCCTGCCCAGGACTGTGCACGGCAGCAGGGTACCTGCTACCCGTGTGGGAGCTGGGGCGGGCAGCTGACTGCTCAGGACCTGGGCACCAGCATCTGTGCCAGTGGGATTGTTGGCCACTAGGTGGGTGGGATTCAGGCAAGCAGACAGGGTCTGCAGTGGACAGGCAGGGCGCGCAGCAGGAGGGTCACCCATTGCAGGAGTTTCAGCCATCAAGCAGTGTAGCAATGGTGCCAGCTGCTGAGCCTCCCTCTTTATCAGCCATCAAGACCACCGCTGCTGCCCCATCCGTGCTGCCTCTGCTACCAGCCTACTCTGCACAAGAAGGTGTGTATGTGTGGAGAGGGAGAGAAAGGGGAAGGGGGAGGGGATGGGGGAGGGAGGGGAGGGGGAGGGCCCCATCCTTTACTGGGCCTCACACTGTAACACCTAAGCAGGCAGCAGAGGAGAGTGTCTCTCAAGGGTTGTTTGGACCAATCACAGCACTTGTTTGGGTCAACCATAGCCTTGTCTCTTAGCACCAATCAGTCATTAATGCTTGTGAGTTTGGACCAATCCTTAGCACCATGGCATGGACCGACTAACTTGCCTAACACTTAACTCTTATTTCTTGTCTTTCCCTTTGCTCCAACATGTGGCTTTGTGGCCTTCCTGCTCTTTCTCCCCCATTTCTGTTCTCTCCACCATGAATTCCACGTGAGGACCACATCCGCTCCATTCCCTGTTGCAGCCAGCCTGAGGACAGGTGTGGCAGGGGGCCCTTTGCTCTGCACCATTGGTCCTTGGTTCTTTGCAGTTGTCCTGGACCATAACTCTCAGGAGTACCTCAACCCTCCTTCATCTCTTACTGTTTCCCTAAGCCCCATTTACAAAGTCTCCATTAGTCTACTTGATATCTTTGCCCAAGTGTCTTAAAACCATCTCAGATTCCAGATGTCAAGACATGTGGTGTTTTATGGAATCCCGATACTTTGAGTCGTATCAAATGTGAGAGATTCTGGGAAAAGAGATATTTCCGAGATGGACTTTATCCCCACAGAAAGGAAACCTTACATTAGAAGCTATAACTTGATTTACAACTTTACTATATAGAAGAAAAGCCCAACTGATACAATTATATGGCCTATTAGGACTAGAAAAAGCTAATTTTCTAAAAATTAAAAATCTGCTGGGCAGTGGTGGCATATGCCTTTAATCCCAGCACTCGGGAGGCAGAGGCAGGCGGATCTCTCTGAGTTCAAGGTCAGCCTTGACTACATAACAAGTTCCGGGACAGCCAGGGAAACTGTGTCTCAAAACAAAACAAAACAAGAATTAAAAATATCAAGTTAGCCAGACAAGAAAGTTATCTCATTGTTTGGAACACATCTTAGTAAAACATCGTATAGTGTTTGGAGAGTCATTTATACCTCTGATCAAGAATCCTGGCTGAACTAAGGTGGTGAACTTCTGTGTAAGAATGTCAGAAAGCGTCTAGGTCCATGCAACCAGGCAGGGTCTGTGTTGATGTCCATGGCTCCTGTTACCATTGAAGGCCGTGTGGATTACTGAGGCCTGGGTCTCCACTTGGAGCCATGTTTGTGTCCAAGGACCACACTGCTACTAGGGCCTATCTGGGTGGCCAGTGCTGCCATCTGGGGCAATGGTGACATCCAAGCCCAGCTGTTGTGGAGGACCCTGTCTGTGTCTGTGGTCCTACTGCAGCCAGGATCTGTGTTGAAGTCCAAGGTCCATGTTGTCACCAAAGGTCACATGGAAACCTGGGGTATGGGCCACAACCTATGACCTTGTTGGTGTCTGAGGGCCTGTGGTGCCACCTGTAGCCACGGTGTTGTCTAGGCCAAGCTGCTGAGGGCCATGTCTGGATCTATGGTCCTGCTGCAGCTGGGGTCTCTGTTGATACCTGTGGCCTGTGTATGTATAAGGGGCCATAGGAACCATGTGTGATGAAATCAGAGGAACATGCTAAGGCAGCCTCACCTTTTGCTGGCCCTGCCCCTTGCAGGACATGGCAAGAGAGTTGCCCCCGACCCTCATGGGAGAGCTGGTCCACTGAACTTAGGAGAGATGGCCCCAGCCCTCACCAAGGGTGTTAAGAGAACTGGCCCCGATGGCAAGGACATAAAAGTGCTGGCTCCACCCCTCATCAGAGGGGGGTGGTCCCAGTGGCCTAGACCAACCAGTTCAACTGCCATCCAGGCTTACATCCAGGGCCTTGGGTGGCTCCCTCTGACATCTACCCCATCTAGGACCTGCTCATGAAGAAACTGGTCCTGTGGAATTACACAAACAGTAATTCCATGACATGGGGTGGCTGAGAAATATCTGAGAGGAGTTTTGTTGAGGGTCCAGTGATGGTGGGGTACCAGAAATCAGAGGCCTTGAACCAGATCAATGACTTATTGCAATGAACTTATTGCAATGAACATTTGCAAATTCAGCCTTGACTGAACAAAAGGGTATGCTTTGTGAAACACTGCAGCTCCCAAGACAGATGAAGAGGTATTTGAGTGGCGGGAAAGACAGGGGAGCAAAGAGGTTTTCTCTTTTAGGGTGACACTGCAAGAGTGAAGGGGAGACATGGGGGAACCTGGGAGATGAGCAGGACGGGGTGCATGATGTGAAATTCCCAAAGAACTAATAAAGAAATCACGTTAATAAAAAATGTCAGAAAGCAGAGTTCACATTGCCAATGCTACTCGGCAATTCTTAGATGTCAAAGCTAAGATTTGGCTTTCCCTGTAAAACCGAAGTGTCAGCTCCTTGGAGGTTATTGTGAGGACTGAGTGAGACTGCATACAGGACAGGACAAATGCAGGCATACACGTAAAGTTGTAACCTTATAAAGCCTTGAGAGTGCGAACTATGAGTTAGGGATAATTTGTTTCTGAAGGGTTGATCTCAGTTGCCTGCCCTTTTTCCTCTGGAGGTTGACTATTATGAAAAAGATTCCATCCAGCAAGGAGGTGGTTCTGTTGACCCCTCTACTACAATTGGAATATGCGACAAGGAGGCGTTTTGTCGTTGGGATGGACTCTTTGGACTTTTATTGGAAGACCCTACATGCACCGCCCTAGTCTACCTTGTGTGTCAGGAGCCTCATGACCACTCACATTACATACGCAACAACTCCTTCCCACTCATCCTCCTTCCTACTTGACCTCAGTTGATAACACCATTCGCTGAGCCTTTTGACTGTACATCAAGTTCACTTCTGAGCTGGATGCAAAGAAACCAGTGCACACCACCTGACGCACCAAAACGTTTCAGGTAGGTACCACTTCTCTCATACTAGGTGTGAAAATCAGAATCCACAGAGATTAGACTATGCCCAATGCCCCAAAGATAGCAGAATATGACAAAAATGGGTTTAGAACAGTTCTGACCCCCTGTGTTCAGTGCCCCTTCCTCATTCTAATGATGATATTGGCAAGAAGACACACAAATAACACTGAGCAACAGCAGTTCTACATTCTGAACAAATTATACTACTGAAGATCAAGAGATAAAGTGAGACTCAAAAACAAGACATCGATTCCCACAACCCTCACATATCCCAGAGTGAATGTTTCAGTCACCAGGCAGATGCACTGAGGTGAGAATATTCTTCACTGTAAGTAATGAAAGACAGCAGGATATGTTTTGCCAATTTTATTGAACCAATAAAATTCCTACTCATAACAATGAAATAAATTCTGCAGGTATAAACGTGATACAGTTTAACAAAACCCATTGTTTTGTACCTATAAATAGATTTTCAAAATGTCATAAAAAGTGCAGTTATGAATTGTTAACATGTTAATACACAGTTCCTTTATTTCAGATGTGTTTGTCTTTATTCACTAACAGTTCCTTCTTTATCTGTTCAAATAATATTACCCATCCCTCAAAAAACAAAAATAACAGCAGAACAAGAAGAGAGGCATTAAAGCATGAGGGTACTACACACAAGCTGGCCCGTTTGGGTCAGCTTTAGTCAGAACTGTCAAGTCAGCAACATACGGACAAAAACCAAGCCTGCTCACACATTCAAGAAGCTCTCCTGGGCTCTGACGTCTCCAGAACTGCCAATGCATGTGGAGGGCATTATGGGTAACCACCACAGTCTACATCTACAGAAGGGCCTGCTCTGCTAGAACAAGGGTGAAGTGGCTGTTGATAAAGCTTGCTATGTTCAGACTTGAAACTAGAAAGAGGATGCTGCCACTTGACAGTGAACTTGTGGACCCTAAACTGCATCAACAGTCTATTGGAGAAAGCTTATCCTAACTTAAAACCGTAGAGAGTAAGAGACGTGTGTGTGTGTGTGTGTGTGTGTGTGTAGCAGTCTTCAAGATCATGTCGTCCACCTTACGTGAGTCCAAAGTCACGTGCTTCATAAGGAAAATACAGCAACAAAGCACAGGACTACGAAGGCGAAAAAAATCACAGCTTCTGATTACATTGACTATAAAGTACCAAGGAACGCAAGGGTAACTCTGTATTAATACTGATGAATTAAGAACTAGAACAGATGCTTCACAGCATGCTACATACATCACAACGTAAGGAGAAGATGTCTACATGGAAAGTCATGAAGTTGGCATCTGACTCGTGCAACTCAGCTGCAGTCTTCATGGATACATTCAATATGCAGCTGCCCTGCACAATCAGGATTCAGAAGGATTTTCAAGTTCAACTCCTATTTCATAGTTAAAAGCTACATCCAGTTTTCCATGAGAGGGACGTTTCTTTCAGGTTTGAAGGAGGTAAGCCAAGTGGCGAGGTCATGTTTCCAGGGTGGCCTGACAGGGTTCTGGTTTACCTTGCCCAGATCTGTGTGTACCTATTCAATTAGTAAGGAGAAGATGCCAAGTGGCTGGGTACTTGCTTTCAGGTCCATCTTGTTTTGGATTAAAAGAGTAAATGTGACGAGAAAGAGACAGGAAAAATCCCTACTTTCTCTTTCTGCAGAGACATTCTTTCTGCAAAAGAAATGTTTATACTAGCTGTAAAGTATGGATCATTTTCCTTGGTGGACAGGGTACCATTTAACTCAGCTTCTATTTTGGGAAACCAGTGAGATTCAGGAAAGATGTCTCTGCTTTGCAAAGGAAAATCCTTGGCCACTCACCGGATACATTTCCTTCATCCTACCTATTGTTCCTTTATAGGACTCAGTTAAAGTTTGTAGGGATCAATGAGGAAACCAGGTTTCTTCTGGATATAATGTGTACATTTAACTCAGTGGTACCCATGAGTAACATTTCACAGACTCTCTCTTATAACATTCTTTCTGTAGAAATGATACATTCATTTTAAGAGGTTACTAGGAGTAAGAAATAGACAGTTTTAGCAAAATTTTACATACCAAAGTTACACTTATCATGTTTCAATTTTAGTGTTTGGGGTCCTATGTGCTATAAAGTGGGGGTGCATGGCCTACAGACTGCTTTGTGGCACATGTTGGATTACCTCAAGGGTTTCCACATGCTTCCAATTCATTCTGTACTTCATGGCAGTGCAGTCCTAATTCAGTTAAAGCTAAATGAACACTGCATGATGTATCACTTTAAGTCATCAGGTCATTGCCTGGCTAGGTTACCTTCTGCACTCTTGGGTCCTTAAATGCATTAATTGGGCATTGCAAGTGGGGTCGTCTGGGGTGGAAACATCTGAAGATCATCAGAGATCTCAGATCTACACTCCCAAGCAGACCCGTTCACCTTTGGGATAGACAGCCATCTCCACATGGACACGTGGCTCCTCTTAGGGGCCTGGCTGTAGGAAGAAGCAGAGTTACTGCCTCTGTGCAATGTCCTCCTCCTCAATGACACTATCTGGACATACACAAAGAGCAACTCGGGGGGCAAGACTCAAGCCAACACATTTCCTTCTTATCCCACAAAGTGAGTTTTTCTTCAGGTGGCAACAGGGGAGGCATGGGGGTAGAAGCCTAGATAATTGAGTCAAATGTTCTTGTACTTGGTTTTGTGGGATTTTTATCTACATCACACAGCTAATAGGCTAATGTAATCCGATCTGACCGTCTAAACAAATACCTTTTATTAGATGTCCTTCTATGAAAAATGTGTTTTAGGGCTCAAACACCACCAGTGAAATTGAAATGGATGACAACACACTGCTCATTTGTCTGCCAGGGATTTTCTGTCCCACTGAAGACTTAGAGGCTCATCTAGATTGTTGGAGAACTCTAACTCTGTATTCAAGCAACTGGAACTATTACCAGTATTTACCATCTAATGGGGACCAAGTTTGGCTAGAAATTCAATCCCTTTGAATTCTTGCTAAATGTTAGATTCTGCATGGTAGAAATAGTTCAATTTCTGTATCATGTATAAATATAAAGGTTCCTACTTTGATAGAAGGCAAATGTTATATGATTTATTTAAAATATGGAGAGTAGTATTACTGAATAACAGAGAATGAACACGTGAGAAGGCTGGGTGCTCTGAATTTATAGGCTCTTCGGGGATGAGGTAGAGGAGAGCAAGCTATTTTGGCAGCTGGGAAGAGGGTATGAGCAGCAGGGGGTGGACAGAACACACTGGATGCTGTGATATATCTGGTAAGGTGTCCAAGGCAAAAACACAGACGGATGGCGGAGCCCCTGGAAGCGGGGTTGGGAAAGCCGTACTTGTAGAGATGAGGAGGACATACTCAGAAGCCGCTCTGGATGCCCAGCAGATGGCTGGTGATGCTTGGCTGTGAAAGGCAGTAAGACCCAGACAGGCTTGGGTGGGGGGAGGGTGTGTGGCGGCTGAGGCACTTGGAGGAAGAGAAAGGTGGGAAAGGGTCGGCGAGGGCTTGGGGGAGCTCCCGCCTGTGTAGCAGTTGCATGTGCCAAGGACAGCCAGAGTCTCAGCTCTGTGTTCCAAGTGCTCCTGGAAACTCCTCTTCCTCACAGGGCTCAGCCCCGGTGCACACTTCCACTCCTACTTCACACCAGCCTTCCTGTTCTTGGTCTTCCCTAGGCAGGTACTGGTGATGGGGCCAGATTAGCAGTGGAATAAGGTGCAGATGTGTGGGTTAGCGCTCTGCGGACCGACAGGATACACTCATGCTCTGGCCTGCTGTGAGGAAAAAGTGAGTCTGCATCTGAGTCTTCAGAGGCAGAGGTACAGCAGGGAACAGTGCATGGTGACGGCCAGTTCCAACTGGCTCCAACTGCATGCACATGAGGCTTACAGTGTCCTCTTCCGAGGACTGCCTTTCTGTTTGCTGGTGGGGTACCACTAAGAATGCTTACATGCTGCATATGTGGGTCATCTTGCATGCTTTTTATTCCATGCAAAATGCAAAATGGTCTGTTTCGCAGAGAATGAGAGCGGTGATTTCTAATTGTTCTTAAACACAACAGAGCGAAAGCCTCCTCTGCCTGTTGCAGTGCATTCATTTCTATGGCACGCTGGGTCTGTGTTGTCCTCATTGTACAGTTTAAAGGAGCCTCGCCTTACAGAGGCAGGCACTTCCCCTGGAAGTGAGGACTATTTCAAGTAGTAGCCAATCTACGACTGTCTGCTGATAAATTTACTTTGGTGAGGCATACAATTCTACGATTTTGGATTAGCAAAACCTTCTGAGGTGGGGGAGGAGGAAGCACTTCCCTGGATGATATCCATTAGATTTTAGAATTATGTAGAATCCTTAACAAGTACAACATAAACAAAATAGGGCTCTGGTTCAAATTTTACATGACTTTTATATATATCTTACTTGAGTTTTCTCTTTTAAAAATAGCCCTGTACAGCTGTGCTATTACTGGGTTTAAAACTGGTTCAAAAGGCCAAGGCTACACCCTGGACTCCATGTTAGCTACCCCTGATTTACAGAGAACCCTAAGGGGGGTATTCCTTGGACTGAGACAAGGTACTTATTTTTAAAAATAGTCCACCTTGAAAAGCCTTTTCCATCAGAGTAGCCCGAGTCTGCCCGAGGAAGCCACTTGTGGGGCAGCCCCAGGGCACTCTGGCCACTCCCACAGGCAAGTGGGCTAAAGACCAGACCCACTTTCAAGTGTGAGGATGCTTACACATCTCTTTCTCTCTCTCTTTTAATTTCTGAGACAAGGTGTCACTATGTAGCTCAGGCTGGCCTTGAACTCACGTTGTAGCCCAGGCTGGCCTCAAAACCACCATCCTCTTGCCTCAGGCTTCCATGTATTGGGATTACAGGTATGTGCCACCATGCCTGGTTTCCTTGACGTTTCTGACAGCGATCTGAGGAGTTAAGAATTAGCACAGATGCTGGCAAACGTGAAACTCAAAACTGGACAGCACTATTCCAGCATGTCCATCAGGATCATCAGGCTGATTTTAACACAAGGAGCGAGGAGGTGCTCTCCCACACTCGCACACTCGCTTCTGTTTGGCACAGGGTGAGCCCCAGGTGCGGTTCAGCTTACCACAGGCTCTGTTATTACCCCACTGAGTCAGATAGCTCCTTTGAAAAATATCACATTTCAGTATAAAAAGCTACACTATAAATTACTACATTGTAAATTCAATACTCTGAAAAGAAATGCCACCCTGGAAAACCGCATCAGAATTTCAAGTCTGTACTGGATAAAGTGGGTTGACGGGCAACTCTTACAGCAGCATTCACACTGGGAATGCTGGGTGCTTCTGTGGCATGGAATGGAGGTGGGGCCACCTTCACAAACCAAGTTTTTGAGGCTGGTTCACTGAAGTTCATAAATACATTGCTGCGTTTTTATTCACGGTTCCAAGTCAACTTGTTTTCTCTGATTATTGATTAGTCTGTTGAACTAAAAGGAAGTTTTGCGAGGAGAGATATCTATTAAAGGCACTAATATTTCCACAGTCCAATCTCTACTTACATTTAAGGGGCAACACAAAACCAAAATCAGAAAGTGACCGCTTTACTTAAGCCTTTTCTTCCCTTTTGGTCTAAAGCTTATCAGGGATCTGTGAGAATTCCTCCTCTTAGTCAATTCAGCTCACCTGAACGAAAGCATGGGGCTATCAAATGAAAGTTTGCTATCATTTAATAAACTCTATCCTAAACGTGGAAGCCTTAAAGCTGGGGAAAGCACATGGACATGTATGCATGCCACTGCCTGTGTTTTGTCATTCTTCTAAATACTCTCCTTGTAGTTCACACATATCTGAAGAAGATGGTGACCACAGTGCACACAGCAAATGGAACACGGAGCCTGGCCCAAGCTCTCTGAATAGTCTCTAAAGGAGTCACCCTGTCTTCAAAGATCCTAGTGACGCCTCCCTCACATGGAGGACTTAAACAAGATCCCGGGGTCTAAAAGCGTACAACTACCTCTGCTCACTGGTCTGCAAGCATTGCTGTTCTCTCTGGAACAGTGCTGAGCAAAAGGACCTGACATCCCAGAACAGGGCAGCAGACAGGACAGCCTAACAGAATGCCAGCCCGCAGCTCTGTGGGAGCTCCCGGATGACTTACTGTGAGACAGACAGGTATGTTCTAGGTTAGCATGTGTGTGTAAAATCAAGTCACCTTTCACCGAGCGAGGTGCTTAAGCCATGCAGCTGAGTCCTCTGGGTGCTGTAGCAGCTCTCTAGGCACTTCACTGGTTCATTAACATAATACAAATTAAAGCTATAAACACATAAGGTTGTGCTCTCTGAAGATAGTCCAATCCAAAAACACAAATGATGCAAAAGTGTGACTTTTTGGCTGCCTTTTTTTTCTCCCCTATGACAATGCATTTCTTTTTTAAAACTAGTTGTCCAAACAGATTTTTCTGGGGAATGAATGCTTTGGCATGCTGAAATCATGGGTCAACCTCAGCAAGGTAAAACTGAAAAACACCAAGCACAATAAAGAAATCTGAAGGTCATTTCTTTATGGCTCTGTTTAAAAGGACACTTCTGCAGCGACATGATAGGGAGAAGTTGAGTTGATTTTTAACAACATTGCACTGTTTTTGTTGTTACTCAATCACATTAATGCACAGAAACACAATGTTTACCTTTGAATAACAAATTACTTAACCTTTTAGAAGAAGAAAGTCATGTAAAATAATTTCCAACAGTGTAACAGGGAAAAATAGGGACATTTAACTAGCCTTCCTTAGCTCTCAGAGAAGGAGAAGGTGCAAAGAGACGTGTGGTCGGGGTTGTCTGACGTGGGTTTGTGGGTGCCAAATGTAAGCAGCACTGTGGGCACCAGCTACTAGACATAACAGAGAACCACAGTGCAGGACTCAGGGGGCTGCGTCTACGTCCACTGCCTCACAGGCAGCCATGTGGGGAAATGGGGCCTCTGTTTTAGAAGACAAAGAAAGTAGCTGAATTTGGCATTTCAGTAGCATGCTATAGAATTGATCATAATTAATTTCACATTAAATTATGGACGATGTCTGTATCACATTTCACGTTATTGCCAATAGCAGTGTAAGAAAACAATTAGATAAACAAAAACAGAACAGTGCCTGATCGTCTCCTGGGGACACGGGTGTGTCCCAGGAGCGGCTTGGTTCAGCAGCACATGTTTTTCCCAGACTCAGGACACACGTGGGCATTTCAGAGCTGTAGAGGACACCATTCTTTCCTGAATGTTGGTATCTGAAAAACAACTTCTTAAGCGGATGGTAAGCACTTTTCCTTATTTTTTTTTTAAGTAAAGAAAAATAATACACATACACATGAACTCCAAAGTCCTGAAGTGAAGCATTAACAAACCAGTTCATGATTTATAGTCAGATCCAAAATCCAACTCTAAGCAATGTAAAGTAGTGCTCGTCAGGGTTACTTTTGCAATTGTTAGCAATGTTAAGCATCGAGAAATATAAAACACACCATTGCACATTACAGCCAGAAAAAATAAAAAACAACCAAACAAACGAACAACTCCCCCCGAATCAAACCCTAACAACACTAACAAAACAAAAACAAAGGACCCCGACAGCTAAACGTGGACACTAGGGAACTGAGTAACTGCTGCGGCTGCATCACAAACAAGTTATGATGAGAGTCCTGTGAGAGGCCCTGGCACATGCTGGCACGCTCCTGGGGGCACTTCAGGTCAGGTGCCGAGTTATGGCACGCAGGGCGTACAGCAGCTCAGCTTGCATCCGAGCTTCCATCAGAAGCAGATTCACGTGAACCTGGAAACCAAGGAGCATTGGCTCAGTAACTACACGACACAGTGGAAGAATCCGTAGAGGTTTTCAGGCACCACATCTGCATAGGTTGTGTGTGTCCAGATACTATGAACAGGCCTGGGTATATACATATATATGATGAGCACTCAAAATTGCATTGTGGATAGTAAATTTAAATTAAAAATACATTCCTAGCATTTAAGATTTTAAATTAAAAATATACTACCCGCTTTAACTTTAAGCCCTAGAGAGAAGCTGAAGATCAACCAAGCTCCCCCCTTCCACAGACTGGTAAAGTCTCAGGTGCCTCTCTGGGGAAAACTTCCACACTCTCTAAACTGACCTCAGGGGATGTTCTAATGTTGAGTTGTTGCCATACCTTCCTATCACTTGAACGTGTTGTTGGGCGTATTCTCCTAATGAGAACAGACAGTCTCTAGAAAGGGAGGAAATCTATTGCAAACATAAAACAGCACAAAAATGCATTGAGGTTGAAGATGAAATGGGTAATATGCCTAGTGGATGACTAACTTTACGACTTCAAAAATGATTTAGAAGTTTGCCAAGGCCATACACATCACTGGTGATTGTTAGAACTCCAGAAGGAGTTTCTTACCTACAGCTTGAACATGGTAGTATGAAGGAGACTGTTAGATTCAACGCTTCAAAGGCCTAGAATCTAAGTCTAGATCTTATGCTATAATGTTGGTAAAGATTCTTAGCACTTACTAGCTTCTGATCTAAATAATAATTCATATACACTCCATCCAGATATTCTTATATAACAAAACATTTGGCTCATAGTCCTTCACTCTAATGGCAAAATATTAAATTACAATGAGAAACTTTTGTTCTAACAGTAAGCTGGTGGCTACCAAGAGTTTCTAAATGGCAGTGCCTTCAAGGCTGGGTAAAATTCTAACAAGCACTGCTTCCTATGGGTTTTTTAATAGTGAGGATGATAGACTTACTGGTATTTAGGTCCAGCCTTTCAAATGCTGATGCTAAAATTAATGTTACATACTGGGCTGGCTAGTTTTTATGCCAACTTGACAGAAGGTACGTTCATTTGGGAAGAAGGAATCTTGCCTGAGAAAATGCCTCCCTGGATTGGCCTGTGGGCAAGTCTGTAGGGCATCTTGGTTGACAACAGGTGTGCACGGTGGTGCCACCCCCGAGCAGGTCTGGGTGCTATCAGAAAGCAGGCTGAGCAAGGGAGCAAGGAGTGTCCCCTTTCTTCCAGGCTTCTGCCATGGCCCGTGTCACCTGAGAGCTGTAACCTGAAATGAGCTCTCTTCCCACAGGTGCTTGTCATCATGGTGTTCACCCAGAAAGAGAGACCTCGACTAAGACATACACCCTGTGAGGCAGAGCACACATCTACAATTCCATGAACGGTCAATAGCCTTTAGGTGAATAGAACATGAAAATAGCTAGTTCAGTGGCACCACCCTCCCTGTTTCGTGACTGAAAACGTCATGCTGAACACATCTTCAGCATGTGTTCTTGAGGTCTGCCTGGTGGTGACACTGACCTTCTCTGAGTGTGTGAACTGCCGCCAATAGCTGTCATACATGCGTTTTGTGGTTCTTTCAGGGTAGCAGGTCACTGTCTTGATGTAAACCTTCAGGCTCCGTTCAAGTAACTGGTTGACTTCCCCATAATCATAGTCGTCATACCTGTAAGTGACAGCACTGTGCTGTGAGACTCAAGCTTCCCTGCTTAGACCTTGCTGTTCAATGACATCATAAGCAAAGCTTATCAAGGAAGCCACAGGAAGAATTTACTGAGTGCATGGTGTGTCAGACACCCTTCTTATTACTGGGATTCTGTCGTGACACGGTAGGATAAGCTTAAACTTTGTCACAGAGCTTAAACTCCTTTAAGGTTATAAAAGAAAAACCTACAAAGCAAACATACAGTTTGCAGGTAGTGATAACTACTTAGAGGAAAATGGACTGGATGGTGGCAGCCAGAGGCAGAAGTAGGCAGATCTCTGGTTTTGTGGTCAGCCAGAGTGAGTTCAAGAATATCCAGGGCTACACAGAGAAACCCTGACTTCAGAAACCAAAAACAATGAGAGTTCGAGTCCAGCCTGGTCTACAGAGTGAGTTCCAGAACATCCAGGGCTACACAGAGAAACCCTGTCTCCAAAATCTAAAAAAAAGAAAAGAAAAGAAAAGAAAAAAAAAAAGAACAAGAACCAACCAAACGAAAACAAGAAAACAAAAACAAAAAACAAAAAAGGATTTGTAGCTTGGGAGGACTGAGCTACAATTTTTAAACAGGCAGGCAGGTGTTCTTTGAGAGAAGCATTTTAGAAAATACTAGAAGGTATTGAATCAGCAAGTTAGGCTAGCCAATAAAGGCTAGTCAGATTTTCCCAGGCAGAGGATGAAAACCCTGAGTCTAACACATTGGTGTGAGTCAGGTGACACTTCAGAACGATGGAGCGGAAAAACAGCCTTAAAACCAAAATTCTGAATACTCCAAAATCCAAAGCCATGTGAGCAAGAGAACACGTTTAGGGTTTGGCCATTTTTAGATGTCTCTTTTACAATGATGCCAGGCCTTAAACACGCAAGGAAAGCTTCTAGATGCTTCCCAGGTTAGGGATACTAACCCTGGAGTGTTCTTTACATAATATGTCAGCATTATTAGTTGATTTGTCAGGAATTTTGTGCTGTTTAGGCTGCGTAACAAACTGAATCCCAGTTCCAATCTGCAAAGCTTTCTTTTATCAGAAAGAGTCTGGAGTTGCTAGCTCATGGCTGCATAGCTTCTCTCTGCAAATCTATCTCATGAGGAAGTCTGCAGAGCCCAGCTCATGCAGCTTCCCCGATTCGGCCTCCTTCCCTCCAGGTCTTTCCATCTTCTCTCCCTAACTTCCTCAGTTTAGAGGCTGTTAATTAATTTGGGACCCAACCACCTCACCTTGGTGCTTTTGAGTCCCCCAATTATGATTCCTTCATAAGGCAAGCCGCACTAACCATACAGACCTGAAGTTGTTATTGCTATGTAAATAGATGCCTTTTCCCTCCCCACGCTGATCTACTCTTTCAGGAAGGATTCTCAAACTTATATCTCATTCTCTTTATCCCCATGTCTTAGTAAAGTCTTACTATTGCACTTGTGTCTTTATCAAGATTCACAACACCCTTTTTATTTGTTTGTAGTTTACTCACATGTGAAGTGCATGTGTGGAAGCCAGAGCCAAACCTTAACACTGGTCTTCAGATGCCGCCCACCTTAGGTTTGAGACAGGATCTCTTGCTAGGAGTTGTAGCTTGCCAATTAGACAGGAATGACTGGCTGGCCAGTGAGTCCTAGGGAACCTGTCCCTACACCCCTAGGGCTGGGATTACAGTGTTGGGGATTGAACTCAGGTCCTAATGCTCACACGGCAAGTGAACCATCTCCCTAAGTTCCAGACTCACACACTTTAAATGAAGAAAATAACCTCTAAGATGAAATTAATTTGGTTTTGTTTTTTTGAGACAGGGTTTCTCTGTGTAGCTCTGTAGACCGGACAGGCCTCAAACTCACAGAGATCCACCTGCCTCTGCCTCCCAAGTGCTGGGATTACCACCTGCTGGAATTAATTTTTAAATCAGGTGCATTTCCCTCCAGAAAGATGTACTCCCAAACAGGCTATAAATAAAATAAATACTTCAATTTCCACTCAGAAATGTATACAATTGTCTGCATAGTGAACATACCTGATTCCAAACATACAGTGAACGTAGTTGAACAAAGCTCTGCGTAGCGTGGTTGTGTCAACATCCTCATGGGTGGCCATTGTGTTGTAGGTGAGATTGTAGACCATTCGAAACTTCTCATCTAGGAGATGTCCAATGTCTGAGTAAAGCCTGTTCACCAGCGAGAACCCGTGATTTTCCCACGTGTAGTCCTGAACGCAGAAAAATTGTACACTTACAAAATGGCATTCTGTTAAACCCTCCACTGTTTTTTATCTTCAAAATAAAATATAACTATTGACGAAAGCTAGTGGGGGTTATTTCCAACTCAGATACAAGAATGCTTCTTGTCAGGATGCACAGTGCAGAGTCAGGGTATTGTCTCATAGGGTCTAGGACTTAGTATGTTTGTGATGAACTCTGGCCACCTTCTCCAGACAGGTACTATGCATACTATACTTTATCTGAAAGGATCCAGAAGTTTTTGACTATTGCTATGTCACCAAACTTACTCAGGTACGAAGGAGTCTGAATTTAACTCCAGTCCCCCAGAATCCCATTGTACTGTGAGAGGCTGGTCCTAAAGCACAAACTATTAGTGCAGTCAAATCTCAAAATGCCTTATTATAGACGTCATCATAATTGTTTGATTTCTTCGCTGCCCCTTTCAAGAATGGCATGAATATATGTAACTATCCTGCATAACACAGGCAATTAAACCAAGCATACTGTTTCCCAGTGACTTCCTAAGGACGAATATATTGAAGTAATTACCTTCCTATAAGAACATCAAATAGACTTGATTGAAAACTAGGTTAGATAAAATGTTTTAAGATACTATCAAAATGTCTACTGGCCACTTTAGAAGACACTTCATTTACATTTTAACAGTTATCCCTTTGAAGGGCAATCCTCTCTAGTCTCTGTGTACCTGGGCTCGGAATGTTGGCAAATGCTCTTCTCCTCGCCTGGCGAAGTCCTCATACCCAAAACCTGGGTCTTCAATGTATCGAGAGACATCAGCTGTTATAATAGTGTCATCTTCAAAATCTAAGGGACAATGAAGGCATTCAGGATACTTACACAGGTAAGACAATGAGCCTAAACCGCAGTTCCCTCAACTCTTTAGGTTTTCAAAAGTGATAGTGTTGACTACATGGTTTATATTCACATAAAATACCTATAGGTGAAGTTCTAAGTACAATTTCCTTACCAAATATGGATATTAAGATTTAATTGCTATGTAGAAAAATAAACAACCAAATTGAAGTATTTAAAAATGGTAACAAAAGATCAGTATGACATATTTACTAATTTAGATGCAGAAGATAAGGCTTGTAAATCTAAGATTGAAGCTTGTTTGATCTCTTCAAGGGGATAAAGTAAGATATGGGGAAAGAGAAGGGAGACGATGACTGAGTTTGAAGACACATCTTTTAAAATTACACCTGATTACACTTTAACAGTAAAAATTCCTTCACTCTAGTTCCCTATTAGCTTCCAGGAGGCAAACCAGTTAAGAGATGAGGCGTGGAGTCCCAAGACAAGGGGCCTTCAGAGTGCCTGGCCAGCTTCTCTGTGCACTGGTGAACACTCACCTCAGCCTGAGCATGCGTGTAGGAGCAGGACACTCCTGTGTTGCTAAGAGAGCTGGTGAGGCTGTGGTCAGGGCATCGCCCCCAGAGTGCTGGGCCGCCAGGGAGGCAATTTACAATAGTTCTGCATGCTTGATGGGTTTTCTTCAAATGCTTCGTGTACACTATCTGAAGCTGAAAATAATTGTCTCCTAACTCACTGTTTTTAGATTAGTGTCTTTGTAATCACTCCACCCTCCCTGATTTCAACTATTTAACAGTGAATAAACAAACTTTGTTTTTCTTTATTCCATAAGTGAACATACCATTCTCAAAATAAAAATGTAGTTACTATGCAAGGAATAAGTTCTTTGTAAGCAATCTAATTAATGTTAAATTAATTCAGTCTTTAATAGAAAACGGTAATTCTCACCTGGGTAAAAAGTTTAAGAGTTTGAGAAACGGTCATATAAACTCTCCTGAAAGTTTATACATGAATATTCTAGTAAGAAAAAGTCTCCTTTTTATCTTTGAGTTGAGGCTGTTGACTGATGTCAGGCTGCATGAGAACAGCAGAGGGGATCAAATTCCTAGGCCACACAATGTGGAACACGTACATTGACTTCTAACCCTTCATTACTCAGGCAAAGAAGACCTGGCATCTGCTGAGTATTTCCTGCATGGCAGGTGTAATGCCATACCTCTAACAGACACATTTTTCTCTAATTTATTATATTGAAAAGAAAAATCCACGTAAGAAATAAGGAATTGTTAGTTCTGATCCGAAGCTTTTCTTTCCTTCTTTTTCCAGTGCAAGGTCTTGCGCATATGGGGCAAATACTCCATCCAGGAGCTCGGTCTCCTTGCCATCTAAAGCTTTTAAGTATTTTTCCTCTATGAGGAACTCCCTGCATGAGGGCTTATGTGTAACACAAACTCATAGCCACAGTCCCGAACCCTTCCAAATTAACGTTAGCACAGCAATGGCATCTTCAGAGCATCAGTGCCTGACTAAAGAGGCATGCTTTCTTCCATCCAATCCATCTCATCAGAATCAAGTGACAGAACATAGGTAAAAATGGAATCAGCCTGATGAGCCTACTAGGAAAACTAGAGCTTGAGGATTGCAAAGCAAATCCAACCAAGCATACCTGTGGATCTGAACTGTCAGTTCCCCTGGCCCATGTGCTACTGAATTCATTTGCAAATGCTAACACTGGACTTGACTGTCACAGGACTTCCTTTGACTTTGATACTAGGTTTTTTTTTTTGTTCATAGACAATTTTAAACATTTAATTTCAAAATAAAAAGTAACTAACCATATAAAGGTGATTCCCAGGAAAAACCTCATAACTTAGAAGTAGCATCAGACAAGACCTGTTTCCTAAGCAATCTGTCCATGAAAAGGGATGTACAAAAGTCCCTTACACTTGGGTCTTAAGTATTCTTCAGTGTCCACATGGGAAAGGCTGAACCTGAGAAAGTGGAGCCTCACGTGAGGTATTTAGGGCTAGGGTTCCCTCAAAAGTGACTGTAGTACTTTGGTGTCTTCCTGGATTTGTGGGTCCACAGACCTAAAGCAATGGGGTCAGTCAATCCAGGCTGGTGTCTAATGGGTCAGCCAATCCAGGCTGGTGTCTAATGGGCCAGCCAATCCAGGCTGGTGTCTAATACAGTGGCTCTGCATTACCTGACCATCTCAGTATTTGTAAGACTCACAAAGAACTGACAGACACCATTCTTTCTAGATTTACCTTGAAGAATTACTACTTTGGTGATCAACAATCTGAAATTAGTTCTGATTTTGCCTAAACAAATATTTAAGTGTATACTGAAAGAAAACAACATTTTACATGCACATATATACAAATTTCTGGGGATTTTTGTTTGTTTTTTGAGACAGGGTCTCTCTTTTATGTCTGTATAGATACAATTTCAATAGCTAAGTAGTTAGTAATGTGAGCTATAAGACACTTCGTTGGAGTGATTTTCTCATAAAGATAACATGAACTAATATAATAAACATGTATATTTTTCAGGATTAAAAGATTCTCAAGAATCCTTCCCTACATGGAATCTGGGAGCTTTGCCATACTAATTCTTTTTTTTAAATATGAAAAAATTAATTTATACTTTCATTCTAAAATTGATAAATACATTTGTTTGCATGTATGTATGTGTGTGTATGTGTATGTATGTATGTGTGTATCTATCTATCTGAAACTCAACTAGTCACTGCACAGAATCATTTTTCTATACTATCTTTCTATAGTTGGCAAGTTTAGTACTGGGATGGTTAATGGTAAAAATATTTAATACAATGGAATGTGTGCTATATGATATGGTCTATTTATTTAAATCAGAGTGTAGGAGCTGGAGAGATGTATATGCTCTTAACGCACTTGTTTTTCTCTCTGAGGACCTGGGTTCAGTTCCCAGCACCCACATGGCTGCTCACAAAAACCTGACTCCAGTTCCAGGAGATCCAGTATCCTCTTCTGACCTTCTCTGGTACCAGATACATGCACACATACACATGTTGCATATATGTGTGTGTGTGTCTGTGCGTGTGTGTACGTGTGTGTGTTAAAGTCTGGAATTTAGTTAACTACAATGCACCCAATTCATTTGTTAGTTTCTGACTCAAGCTCCCAGTGAGACACTGATAATGTCCTACACTCTTCTCAAGCTTGAGGCCCCTGGTCTCTGCTCTGCTCTTGGGTGTTTTGTCTGCAGGCATGGCTAAGGGTGGATAGAGATTGGGACTGAGAAGTGGTCCTCAGTTAAGAGCACTGGCTACTCTTGTAGAGGAGCTGGATTTGATGCCCAGAACCTACATGTGGCTCACAACCATTCATAACTAAAGTTCCAGAGGATTGACGATCTCCATTGGCACCTGGTACATATGTGCCATACACATATACATGTGGGAAAAACACTCACACACATAAAATAAAATAAATCTAAAGTTTTGTTTAAAATGATGACTAAAATTACAAAAGTTATGCTGCCCTGCTGCGCCACTTCCGAATTACTGTTGCATGCTCTTCGGCACATACACCACAGCAGCACAAATCTCAGAACTTAAGGCTGGCTGATGTAGTTTCAAGAGGAATATGGCCTACATGACACCTTTGAGGGGTTCACACTTGTGTTTAGTCTATGCTGCTGAAGTAATATTTACTATGTGCCTTTAAAAGTGAAATTGGAAAGTTGCTTTACTATTCCAAAATTCATAAAGAGTATAAGAAAAATTTCTTCTTACAATTTGTGTGGTGTGTGTGTGCATGTGTGTGTGTGTGTGTGTGTGTGCGTGTGTGTGTGTGTGTGTGTGTGTGTGTGTGTGTGTGTGTGTGTGTGTGTGTGTGTATGCCATGGAGGATGTATGGAAGTTAAATGAAAGCCTGCAGGAGTAAGTTCTTGCCTTTCACCCTGTGGGTCTTGGGATCAAACACCAATTGTCAGGTTTGGTGACAAGTACTGCTGAGCCATCTTGCTGAGCTCAGCAACTGATGTGCTTTAAATATGTATCTAGCACAGAATGAGGACAATAGTCCTACAAATCTGTTTCAGGATTAGTGATAGTCATATGTTGTGCAACAACACTGTAGTCAAAGACTGAATGCATATGTGAAGGTGGTTCCTCAAGACGATACTCAATCTAGAAAATTCCTACTGCCTGTGACACTGGAGTTAACATATTGCAGTCTCAGACATTTCACATTTGTGGTGACAACCTTATGAAGAGACCCAGCGCCCTGCCAGCATATACCGTGATGCTACATAGCATATACCATGATGCTACACAAAGCAGAGCTACTGATTTATATATTTGCTATCTGTGCTTCCCATGTTACTGTTGAACACGCCCCGTCACTTATCAAGCGTGTACTATTGAGTATCGTGCCATGCATGTTCTTCTGGGAACAGCTGCACACTCTCCATGTTCAGATGCCGCCCCACTGGGAATGTGTGAGTGCACTGCACAGTGTTTGCATAGCTGCAGGTTTCTCAGAATGCACCCCACTGTTGATGAAGCCATGCGTGCGTGGAGAAACAGGAAGACGGCGGCAAACCCATCTTTGTGGAGCCCTATGGAAGATACTAAAGGCTGGTGACTGACTAACGGCCTCCGAACAACTAGCCAAGAGCAAGGCAGAACGCACCTGAGTGAGGAAATGAATGGAAACTCTCCCCGGGAACCACAAAGAGACTTTCTTTCTTTTCCTTCTCAAAACGCGTGCTCATTTCTTCCCGAGTCGTCTCGTCATCTCCCCTGTCTTCCTGAAGCCTTTTCATCCTTTCCATTAAGGCTTCTAGCTCACCTAGTGAGTCCACAATCTGGAAGAACGTGACAATGTTGGTGTTAGGCACTGCAAAGTGCTGCAGGCAGCCTCCCCTCCCCCTCCCCTACAGTACATGCAGAGGGCAGGTATTTGGGCTGCAGCAGAGATGCTGGTCAAACGATGGGAGCTTTTGATTGGCAGGAATACTTTAACTGTGGCTAGGGTAGGCAGGTATATGACACAGATGAGTGACTGCCATGGGCTCGGCATGGGAGAAGAGGACCTTGGTGTCACGCTAATGGCTGTAGAGCTGCATTTTATACTGTAACAACATCCTAAATTTTATTGTTGCCAAACTCTGTGATCATCCTCACAACTTTTTGGTTGTACCCTTTCAATGGGCAAATTGGGTGATATGTGACTAACATTTCATTGAAGCTATTTAAAAATACTCTGAGTTTTTTATTAACTCCATAGCAATTATATGACATATATTTTCAGATGTATGAGTCTGCCTAGTTATAAATATAAAAAGATTATAGGTGGTATGTGTGTGTGTGTGTGTGTGTATGTGTGTGTGTGTGTGTGTGTTGAAATACAGAATTCTAGTGTTTGGTACATACTAAATTGTACTGTACTGAAAAATGATACACTTTCCTCAGCTGTCCAGGATCCTACAGACAGATGCAGCATTCTGAGATCTGCTGTGCATGGGTCTGATTTTAAAGGCCTGTGATAATGAATGTATCAATGCTCAGTTTTTGTTATTTATAATAATATCTCTTTGCTTACGGTGCCAGAAAGGTGTAGGAAATCCAAAGAAGGGTATAGACATCGTGTATGCTAAGAAATTAAGGCCAAGAAGTCCCCTGGACAGTGAAGATATTTAGAAGGACATTTAAGAAGAGAAAAATAAAGTCAGTTTAGTGATAAATTTCAGGTCTGATTTTTTACTGTCAGTGAAAAGGTGAACTCTGTAAATACGGGTGTGTGTTTAAAGAAGAAAACTTGGAGTCTTCCTGGTTGTAGTGTCTTCAACATTTACATGGAGATCACAAATGGGGTTGCCAGGAATCCCAGAGCAATACAACTTAAAAGTTCAGGTGTGGGTGGGCAAAGGTGTCATATATAAAGCCCGAAAGTTAAAAAAAAAAGTCAAAACTTAAGGTACTGATGAAACTTTCACAGTGCTAAAAGCATCCTATCTGGTCACAGTGAAAACTCGATAGATAATATCAATAAGGTTCCAAGAGAAATAGCTGAGAACAAACCCCAAAGTTGCTGCCCGCCAGGGATGCGTTCTCAATGCTGTTGTCATTAGCCAGATCACAGACACAAAAGCTGTTCACAGATATTAGTCTGAATCCATTGGAGACTCCTGGTTCTCTCTCAGGGTTGATGCCACTACCAAAAACAAAGCTGGCCAGAGCGTGATAGTGAGCCAGGAGGACCACGGCGTGCACTAGCTCAGGCAGCGACCAATTATTCTCTCCAGTTTTGACAAGTTTCTGAAATGAGATTGTTAGCCAAGGTCAACACAGAAGCCAGAGGAAGCCACAGACTCGCACACTCACTCGTAGTAATGCAAACTACAACTTCTTTTAAAATGCTTCACACATTAAAGATAGGTCTTTGGTCACATAATGTAATGTGCAGACTACCAAAGCCCCACAGCATAATTATGTGGTGGCATTGTCTATAATAAATACTCTATTATACAAGGACTCTTCTGCTTCTAAAGCACTTTAAAAACATCAGTAAGATGGTAAGAGAATCAAGAAACATTAAAGCTAGAAGGGACTTTGACAATTTCTGCCAACGCCATTCATTTTCAGGAGTTTTGGATACCCTGTCCCAAAAATTAATGTGAAAATCCAGTTTAATAGGGCAGCTGCTGATTTCCCTCTACATAGCATCTGGTAGAGACCCCCAAATCCATGCCACGGGACTGAATATGACCATACACTTAGAGTAAGAACTTATCACATGTCAGTACACTTTTTCACATGCTATTTTATTTGGCATGCATTTAGAGCCACAATTAAGCCATTGAAACAATGCCAATCTTGGCTAGCAACTTGACTGTATCTGAAGTCAACTACAAAGCAAGTCACTGTGCATTCTAGTGAGGGATTTTCTTGATTGGATTTCTTGAAGAAACACCCTAAAAATGGGCCAGGTCCTGACCTGTATAAAAGTAGAGGAAGCTAGCCTAGCAGTTCGAATGCATGCATGTTTTCTCTCTGCTCCTCAAGTGTGGATGTGCTAGCCGCTTCAAGCTCCTGGGTTCACTTCCCTGCCATGACTGATGGACTGCAACTTTGAATTGTAATTTACAACAAATCCTTTCTCTCATAGATTGCTTTCTGCAGGGTAACTTGCAAGGGTGAATTCCACCAATACTTCCCAGAGACTCCTTCCCATCAGTTCAATATTCATTCACACAAGTAATAATGTTCTTTTCTCTAATTAAAACAATAATCATCTTTTTTTGGCCACAGTCATAGACATATATTTGTTTGATCTTCAAATCTGGTATTTTGGCACGTTCATTTTTCATGAGGCTACACTGTTGTACTGACTTTAAAACACGGGTTCAATGGGGACGCACCTAACTACTTCATTTCTGCACAGGTATCAAATTGTTCCTTTTAATTTCTTCAGTTATTTGCTACTATGAATAGCTTCTTCATGCTACAGCTTCTTTCGAACCCTGAGATGGGTCCTCCTCCTCATCACTCGCCTCTGAAACATTGGCCTGTCCTGCCCTGTGCAAAGTCCTCCTTCCTCAGTCTAAAGACCTGGGTGGGTGACTCGTTCTTCACTCGACTTTTGCTTATTTCCTTCCTATCAATTCTCTGATGTAACTAAAACACTACAAAAACAGAACACAGACCTAGAACCATGCTGTTCTTCAGAGTCCAGAAGTTACCAAACTCTAATATTAAAAAAATAGAAACAGGGTGCTTGCTTTAAAAACTGGACAAATCACAAAGATGTGGTATAACAGCACAGTTGTCTAAAAGGCATTTCTATGTATTATGGGCACACTACATATGCATTTGTAAACAGGTGTCTGAGATGGAGGTGAAGGCCTCTCCGGGCTGGACCCTGCTGGGCAGCACTGGCTGACACAAGGAAGGAAGATATCTATTTTTTATCTGGCCAGTAATCCCCATACCAACTTTTTGATTTATAAAATCATTTCTTTATGGATCTTAAATAATGAAATGTTAAAACTAGCAAAGGATTCAGAACTCACAGATCTCCCTTCTTTATAGAATTTATTAACAAAAGGGCACATATCACTGACAGTAGCAGCCAGAAGCCAGGCATCCTTGATGCTGGTAGACTTGAATCTATCATCTCCTTAACAATGGAAGCCAACTTTCCTCACAGCCAGCCACCACAGCACAAGTTCAAGCCAATGAGTAATGCTTGAGGAGAATCAGTTTTTATTTGCACTTAAATGAAACCCACTGAATCTCTAATTATCTTTTCTATATGTAATACAACATCTCTTATTTCTCAAGTTGCTAACATACAGGTGTTTAAAATTAAGTCCTTATACATATGTGCATGTGTAATCAAAAAAGAGGCTATGGATATACTCTCAAGCTTCAAGTGTAACTCAGAGCCTGTATAGAGACACCCAATACCTGAATGTGCTCTTTCGTGATCAGCCAGGGCCGATGTGCCAGCAGCTTGTTAATTTCATTAAGATTTCTCAGTCGTCGTGGTACATATTCCAAGCCATTCAGCCACTCAGCAATCCCTCCAGTCTTTAAAAATTCATCCACATGCATGTTTATTAGGTAGGAACACTGGTGTCTGGCAGCAGCCTAAAACACAGAAAATGAGTTTCCTGAGAACAGTCACGAGCAGGTCTTTCCACAAGCAAATAATAATTTAGATGGAGCCAATATTATTTTTCACTCAGTAACTCTTTTATTACAAAATCCTCCTTCTTCAAAAATGTTTACCACACTGTTGTTGCAGATTTTTGCATCAACACATGAGGTGGATATGCAGTTTTCACACGAAGTCACCACCTTCTTTCTGTGTTTGGTACACACAGACCTGCAACTACTCTAGCTATTTTCAGGAAATGCACAGGCATGGTGCAATTTTGCTACGGGGAAGATACAGTATGTTCCATTTGAAATTCAGGAACTTCTTAGTAATGTGTATCCCACTCAGGTTCTTTCTGATTTGAGGACTTCCCTCATCCTCAGTGGGATAACTGAGTAGCAACATCTGACCTCAGGGACCTGCTCAGACACTGACCCTCTCCTTACCAGTCAATGTCAGCAGAGTGCTGTCAATAGGACATTCATGTAAGGTACCTTTGCCCTCGCTTCTATGGCTGCTGCTTGTATAACAGTGTTTTATTCTTTCCAGTCTCTGCATCTCTGCTGTCTTAGTGAGTGACCATTCTTAGTCTTCTGTCCGTCTTACCATCATTGAAAACTTGTTAAAATCACAGCTCATCAAGTTCACGTCAGAGAGCAGAGTGCTGCTTGGTGACACTCACCTCCCGAGTCCAGGAGCCTTTCCGCACATGGCGTCATGGGCTCATGTGCCCACTCTCTTCCCCAGTGGCTGGCCAAGTAGAGCACAACTTCTGCCTTCCTCCTTCTGCTCTAGAACCTCCATCACAGCCTCCTCCCCAGCCCTCTATTTGCAGATGACAAGGTCTACACTTGCAAGTGCTGTGATTCACTCTTAGACAGGTCTGTCACTAGTCTACACTTACAAGCGCTGTGATTCACTCTTAGACAGGTCTGTCACTAGTGACAACAGTACTTTTTTCCTACCCCACACCAGGGATTGTCTTCATGTATAAGATGACTAAGGAAAATGCCCACGATCAACTTATGCAAAAGAAGACCCCAAGAATAACAGCAAAACTATAGGGATTATTCTGGACTCAAGGGCCATCTTTAATCATAAGAAGCTAAATGTGAAAAATAACCACTGTAGGTTAAATGCTAAACACTTTAAGTGACTTAAAGCAACTCTGAATGTATTCAAGGGATATGGTATTCAAAAAGCCAGAGGTTTCTTCAGCTTTGTCCCATGTAACTATACTCAGCTTCACACACATGCAGTCACATGCACATAAACATACATACTTGCTTACACACACATACATATATGCATATGCACACATACACACATACACATGCACTCTCTCACATATACATACACACAAGCACAAATATACACACATACCCCTCTACACATACGGAGGCACAACCATATATGCAAACACTCACCCCACACAGTCACACACACACATCCCACACATGTAGTCACTCTCACACACTCACATACACACTAACCCACACCCCCAACACTCCCTCGCACCCCTCCCCCAAACACACACCTTAGAAGAGACACAGAGATGTGAAAGCTAGTCCCTGACACTAGGGATGACAGGAAGGAGGCACCTACCATGATGGCAATGTAGTGCCTATCTGGGAGGGGAAGGGGACCATCCATGCGCAGCATGTAGAACTGGCTCCTCAGGAAAGACTCCAGGTACTGCGTGTGCAAGCTCATCACCTGCGTGATGTTGTCCAGGCGACCAGACGTAGAGTACTCTTCCACAAGAAAGTTCGTTCGTGCGTCCACCGTGTTTGCTTGGACAACCTTACAACCAAGAAGCAGGGAATGTTGTGACTACCATGATGTAAAGACAGTTTTGGTTCACACGGACTCTGCCTCTACTGAGGAAATACATATTCATTTGATGCTAACAGACACTGAAATTATGCAGTTGCTCATACTAGAAACAGAAAGTTAAAAGGAGAAAGTACCATTCAGTTTTGGCTCTGGTACCACAATTTATTAAACAACAAATGGTAAGTTATCAAACATGAAACGTGCAGCTAGAAAGCTGAGGGAAGAAAGCTCCATCTGTCTTTGCAGGCAAACTCCAGAGCCTGCTTTCTGGCCATTGTCACACATGGAGTGAGGCAGAGCCAGCAGCATTTGGGCACATGAATTTGCAGCCTACTCTCATCAACTGACAAAGAAAATTAATTGCATTATTTTGGACAAATATCTGATTCTTTGTTGTTTTTGCTAGTCAGCATTTTTTTTCTCCAGATTTATTTTGGTAAAAAAAAAAATCAGATATAACCTTTCAAAAATTACATTAATGTTTAACATGCATTCAAATAACTTTCTTTTTTTTCCAGTTTAAATTTAGATAAGAAACGAGGTTGCTTCACAAGTCAGATCCAGGTCCCTCTCCCATTCCCTCCCCTCCTCCCGTGCCATCCCCCAACCCTCCCCCCCCCGTTATCCCCTCATTCCCCCAGGGAGGGTGAGGCCCTCCATGGGGGTGTCCATAGTCTGTCATTTCATATAGGGCAGGGCCTAGACCCTTCCCCAAGAGTTCAGGGTGAGAGTGCACCTCACATTGTTCTATGGGAGTCCAAAGTCCGTGTGTATACTTGGGATGGGTACTGATCTGCTGCCCAAGGCTCAATAGGTTCCCTAGGCCTCCTCATTGACACCCAAATTCAGGGGGGTTTAAAAGCTTTATGAAATCTTGTTTTAGAGACACAGGAATATATGATGACTTGTGGAAAATACTAGTTGAAAGTGGACACTAGACCCTGTCATTGCTAGTTTAAGCCTATCATAGTAATTACTAAAAACAAGGCATGAAAACTGAATTTACCCCACCACTGTCTTAGCTCTCATTGTGTTTTAGAGCTATACTTGTAGATGTAAGATGAACATGATTCTCACTTTAGAGGTTAGGAAGAGATTCTGGAATGAATTCAACCTTGTGCTCTAGTTAACAGAAAAGTGGTCTGACTAGATCCTGTGAAATCCAAACCGATAGTCCTTGAAAGACTCATACTATGGTCAGAAAACTGCTGTTATGTGAGGTTTTGTCCTGGCTGGTCCTATTGCCCTTCTCAGCCCCAAAGAAGCACATGGATGCTATGTTAGTTATAAACTGTTGGCTGGTGACTAGCTCTGTCTTAATTATTAACCCATTTCTATCAATCTATGTATTGCCATGAGGCTGTGGCTTACCTGGTAATGCCCTGGCATGTTGTTACGCCTTCGGCAGCATTGAGAAGAGTCAAGGCTCATTCTGCCTACCTTTCCCAGAATTCTCCTTCTCTGGTAGTCTCACCTATCCTTCCTGCCTGGCCACCAGCCACACAGTGATTTATTCATCAACCCACAAGAGAAACATATACACAAAAGGACAACCCCATCAAACTGCTCTATTCAGAGCTGGCTTCACAGTTCCTTTTACCCCTGGGGAGATATACATTATACCAAGGGACTGTTTATGGATAAGGACTTAATCGTAACTGTAGCATATGTGAAAGTGAAGCTGTGAAGAAATGCTAGTTACACTGGCATAAATACAAAAGGCAACTTCACCTCAGCGCATTATGGAAACCTGGGTACTCTCACTTTCCATTTCCCTGTTCGGTAGACTGGAGGGACTGAGCTAATAGCTAAAAAACAGTACGATCCAAACCCAAATATAATCAGGGCTAGAATATTTTACTATTTTTGTTTGCTTTCTCTACAAGTCTCTAGTTCTCACAGGAGGTTCACAATGCATCACTAGATTCATATGCTGCAACAGATCCTAACAATGCTTCGGGAGGTCACTCGTATGTGTTAGGCCACCATCCCACAGGCAACCAGGTGCAGGCACAGCAGTGCCTCTCGTACATGAAGCTGCCACCTCTGAGCTCTGGAGGTGTACTATTGTTTTGATTCAATGAGAAGGCCATTAAAGCAGGACAGGAGAGTGAAGTAAAAAGGCATCTATGCACAGTCAGGGAGCAGCAGCTATGAGACAACCACATCCATGTGCACGGGGCACTCGGTAAGCAGACATGGAAGCCCTTAGCAGTGTTTCTCAGCTTAACGAGGGTCAAGAGGCATCACAAAGACTCTGAACCTCACTGTCATCATCCACAAAGATATCTACCAACAAAATAGGCACAAACCTTACTCTATCACTGACAATCTCTCTGCCTTGCACTTACCATCTCGTTAACAAGCCCTCACCAAAGACACACAATTGTTGGACAGTCTGTGACATCCTGTCAGTCAAACTTGTAAATGAGAAGAAAGAGTAACTACCAGGAATGGAGGCATTGCCTGTCTTTTAAAGGTAGCTGGACACTCATATTTCATTTCAAAATATCTTTTTATCCCAATTGCACAATACAAGTACTGTGAAATGATGGTATCTTCAAACCTGAAAACCTTCAGACTTTCTTAGTGAATATGAAAAAAATGACTCCACATTTTTCTGACATGAATAACACATTAAAAAGCAAAACACATCTACTTTTGCAAGAAAAAATGGATGTGGTTTTAGAGTTAGTTTCAGACTAGACAATGTATTAAACACAAATGAACTTACTTCCTTCTCTGGGATAAAGGCACTTGGTCCTCTTGTTAGGGGTTGAGACACTCTAATTCTTTTATCCTGTTTGTAAAAGAAAAGTTCAATGTGTTATGAACTTCCCAGACAATTTGATTGGTGGACATTTACAGTCAATGTACTAGAATAAATAAGCAAGTCAACAGAATTATGTAACCCCAAAGGAGTTTGGGTCCAGGACAAAGAAAATCCAGAGCAGTGCTGGCTGTATGGATGTGAGATAAAGGGACAGACATCTACCACAGTCATCACACTTTGCCTACAGTTTACACGATTGAAAACCATTGACTTGCACAATAAATTCATACCTGTTAGTACACTGCTATAGTAGGACATTGTTGAAGATTATTAACATTTTTGTTCTCACTTAAGTCTCTGTGTATAAATCATGCAGATTCTAAAGAGATTGCTTCCTTTTCCATGGGCAAGCTTAAGTGCAGAGAACAAGGAGGCCCCTTGAATACCTTAGCCAGGGGAAGACTGGAGGGAAACAGTCACTTGATTTCCTATGATAAAGGTAACTCTGAACTGAGAATCAGCCTTTTGTGGTTTCTCAAAAAATTGGGACTCAATTTACCTCAAGACCCAGCAATTCCACTTTTGGGCATATACCCAAAGGATGCACACTCATACCATGTCTGTTCAACTATGTTCATAGCAGACCCTCAACTGAAGAGTGGACAAAGAAAATGTGATATATTCACATAATGGAGAAAAAAAAACAATGACATCTTAAAATTTGCAGACAAATAAATGGAACTAGAAAAAAAGCCATCCTGAGTAAGGTAACCCAGACCCAGAAAGACAAATACAGTATGTACTCACTAATAAGTGGATATCAGATGTAAAGTAGGGGATAATCAGCTTATAGTCCATGACCCTAGAGAATCTAGGTAACAAGGACGACCCTAAGAGAGGCATACATGGATCCCCTGGGAAGGGGAAATAGACAAGATCTCCTGAGCAAATTGGGAGCGGGGTAGGGAAGAGGAGGGGAGAGGAGAACAGGAGGGAATGGGATGGTTGAGATGGGTTAGAACAGAGAGGGAAAGCAAGGAAAGAGACATCTTGATTAAGGGAGTCTTTATGAGGCTATCGAGAGACCTGACACTAGGGAAATTCCCAGGAATTCACAAGGATGACCCCCCCCAAGCTAAGACCCATAGCATCAGTGGAGAGAGTGCTTGAACTGGCCTCCCCCTGTAATTAGACTGATGAATAACTGTGTTATCATTATAGAACCTTCATCCAGAAACTGATGGAAGCAGAAATCCACAGCTAAGCACTGGGCTGAGCTCCCAGAGTGCAGTTGAAGAGAGGGAGGAGTAATAATATGAGCAAAGGGGTCAAGACCAGTTTGGGGATACCCACAGAAACAGCTGACCTGAGCTAGTGGGAGCTCAGTGACTCTGGACTGACAGTGGGGGAACTTGCATAGGACCAAACTAGACCCTCTGAATACGGATGACAGTTGTGTGGCTTGGGCAGTCTATGGGGTCACTTTCAGTAGGACAAGGATTTATCCCCCATGCTTGAACTGACTTTTTAGAGTCCCTTCTCTTTGGAGGGATACTTTGCTCAGCCCAGATATAATGGGGAGGGCCTTGGTCCTGTCTCAAAGTAAGGCCAGAGTTAACTGACTCCCCATTCGAAGCCTTACCCTCTCTGAGGAGTGGATGAAGGGTGGGGCAGGGGAGAAAGAGGGAGTAACAGGAGGAGCGGAGGGAGAGGGAACTGGGATTGGTATGTAAAATGAGAAAAGATTGTTTTTAAAATAAAAAGATGACAAAAATAAACTTCAGAAATACTACATCATGATGTAAAAAGTAAGTCAGTAGCTCATCTGAAAATAACAAAGCCTCTTCTAAATGAGCTTACGCTAAGACACAGACAATACAATGGAAGCTGACTGGTAGTCCATGGGTAGACACCTGGGTATAAACATTCTGTCCAAACTGAAATAAGGCTAATTAGCATACATTAACAATTCCTCAGGACTATACAGTAGAATTATATGAACATGATGCAATCAGAGAGCCAGGAGAAACAAGATGTCACTCAAATGCAGATGCGAGAGGAAACAAAAGAAAAGCCCCGGTGGGTATCAACAGAGAAACCAGTGGCGTTGCTATGGATTTCTGGAAAAAAAAGTAAAGCTTAGACATGGTCATTTATATTCTTTCTCTCCCTTCCTCCCTCCCCTTGTTAGTGGGCAACGTTAGTTGTTTTTGTCCCTTACAAATCAAATAGCCTACCAAACACAAAATAGTTATTTAAATACTTTAAGTTCCTTACTTCATTAGAAAGCAGTTTTAAAACAAATTGGCAAAAGTAGGCAATTGGGTATTCCAATGATTCTTTGAGAGACTAATTGGATATTGTGATAGACCACCCCAACCCTTCTGAGCTTGGCACACACTCTCCATCAACTGTCAGTGCTCTAGTTAAATGTATACATCACATGACAACTTTAAGCTGTTTAAGTTTCCAAACAAGTGACACATCTAGATTACAAAGCAATGACATAACTCCCAATCAATTGCTCAAGTACACTGGAAGATGGCACATGATTTGGATTAATTCAGAATTTCTCATATTGATATTTCTTGTCTACACTGACTAACATCTAATTTGTCTAGAAAAAGAATTCAAAATGGAAGATATATGAAAATGATACCTCTTTGAGACTAGCCTAGGCTATACAGTCATCTTGTCTCTAGAAACATGAAAGAAAGAAAGAAAGAAAGAAGGAAAGAAAGGAAGAAAAAAGAAAGAAAGAAAGAAAGAGAACCAATACACTCCACTGTCTATAGAGTTTAATGAACTAGTATGGGAAAAGCAACTTCCTGAATAACTAATCATTTAAAATAAGCAAAGCATCTAAAAAGCTGATAAAAGAGGGGAATCAAGCTTGAAGAGAAAAAAATGTAAGTATGGAGATAAATGAACATGATAAAACTAGAAAATACACACAATCCATAAAAGTTTAGAGAAATGCGGGGCAGGAAAATGCACACACTCTTTCATGTACACAAGGAGTTTCTGGAAACAGAATGAGGTACCACTGTTATAATTTATTTACAAAAAACCACATTTATAGTTTGAACCTGTTACTTTGCTTACAAAAGTACTTTCTGGAGCAGGCAGCATTTAAATATGGAATGTGTTTTCATTATAAGGTAACTACAGGCTCCTGCATGCAGATAAATGCAGAGTCATTTTAACCCACTACTGAGAAGGCACACATACACAAAGCTAAGTATGCCATCTGCCTCACAGTGGCAGGCACACACAGTGTAGCAACCATCATCCACCTCGCTGTTCCAACTTCAGGGTGTGCACTTCACTCACGAGTAATGCTGGTAGGAGCATCCTTATAGCAAGAGACCTGTGGCATAGTTTAGCATAGGTTTTGCTACAAGAAGACTTCCTGGGGTTTAGATTACAGTTAAGCTTAGAAGAGTTGCATACGACTACAGAAAAGCAAAAATGCCCATTTTCATCACCTGGGAAAATGTCTACACAATATACTGATTTCAAAAGTAGAAATATACTTGGGTTAATTTACTGTATGCTTCTGTGAGTACCAAGTTAATAAATAGAGTTGAGGATCAGATCTGTGTTTGCAATGTCATTCTGGGGCTGACACTGCATCTGGGCCATCAGAGGAAAATGGCAGAACTCTGGAGAGAGTCCACGAAAAAGGTAGTTGCAGCCTTACCTGAGGCACTGTCTTTCCAGAACACTGAAGGAAGAGCTAACCCGTTTTTGCTCTTTTCTCAGATGCACCCCTCTCTCTCTCTCTCTCTCTCTCTCTCTCTCTCTCTCTCTCTCTCTCTCTCTCTCTCTCTCTCTCTCTCTCTCTCTCTCCCCATATATACATATATATAGCTGTTACACATATTTAGTATGTAATATTGTGTATACATGAAAATATACCTACATTGATATGTGTACTATATGTATATGCATGGTTTTGTTTGAGACAGGTCTTGTCATGTAGCTCTGGCTGGCCTGGAATCTAACAGTGCAGACCAGGCTGGACCTGTAGCAATCTTCTAGACCTTGCCTCCTTTAGGATTACAAGATTGAATCATCACACCCTCCCTCAGTTACACTGTTTAACTGGTACCACTTTTGAAATCACCCTGTCCTGCTTCTCCATGGGACAGCCTTTCTGGTGTTTCTCTGCTGCATCAAAGGCTGTTGTATACATTTCTAAAAGGCTGAAACCCTGTTTAAAAAAATGGTCAAGGCAGATCCTCAATTACACTCTAGGCTCATTTTACTCTTAAAAAAATTCTACCAGCCATTTTTATCTGTATATTTTAAGGTCAGATCAAACATAAGAGAAAGGAAAACCCAAAATGACCAAGAGACTTGCTTTAGACTATACACTAGAGTTCTAGCCAGCCTTTCGCCCTTCCTCGGTTTTTTCCTGGGTGTCTAAAATATCGAAGGACCTGCTTCCTACTTCATTCTTTCTGCTAATCATTCTAAAAGTCTAGCCTTGGATGCCCATACGATAGACACTGGTTACATTCGGCTAAAGTGAAGTATGTCTAAAGCAGTTTCCATCTATGCTGGTCACACTTCTGGTGCTTGACAGACACGTCTGACAAGCCGCTAGGCTGGCAGTTGTGGCACCACTGCTGGGGAGTAGACAGTGCTATTCTCCTCACTCTCCTCCCCTCTGTGTGCTGAACACAACTGCCCCTCTTTTGAAAACTCACCCCACAAGGAATCCACCTCTAGCCAGCATGTAATACCAAACTGTGAGTGACCAGCAGAGCAATGGCAGCTCTGTGAGCGTCTGAGTCCTGAGAAACTGAAACTCTAAACCCATTCAGCACAGCTGAGCTACCATCCTACTGCCAGACTCAGAAGCCAACTGCACCTGAGGGCCTTCTCAGAACCTCTCAGGTGACCCTCCTCTCAGCTCTGCCCTCACTCAGCTTCCGCAGGAGCCTCATGGCCCGCCAGGACACCTTTTCTACACACCCCTTGCATTTCTTTCTCCACAGAGAATCACTCTCTCAAGTGAA